TTGCAAATTTAAATTGGCTATATATAAGGTGAAAAATAATTGTAGCTTCTTTATAATGTTGAAATCCCCCAAATACACGCATGTATCTTACCTGAGGGGGCTTCACTATTATTGTATTACCGTATGTGTTTTCTTACTTTTTTTTTCTTCCCTGATATCACTCCTGAGATCAGCTGTATAATTCAGACTGAACATCTTGAGAGGTGGTCCAATCAAGCTAATGAAAATTAGTGTTGATATTGTCTGAACTTTCTGAGATGATCACAAAGGGTCATGATTATGTTTATCTACAAGAAGCCCTGTTCATAGTCACATGATATTTATTAGTATGATATTAACACTCTCGGGATCATACACTCATAAGTGGCGTTTTGATTTAATGTAAATGAAACTTTTGCCTTGCGATTAGAGATGCCAGTACAGTGAGTTCTGCTATAACGCGTGTTTTGATAACGCGAATTTGCTCTAACGCGATTTATGAATAGAGGAACGATATTTGTATAACTCAAACGCTTGTTTGCTGTAACGCAATTTTTGCTTACTATTTCTCCCATTTTGTGGTATTAACTGTGAATATGGTAAAGAAGAATATCTCCAAGAAGCGTTCTGGTGACCGCATTCCCGGTGATGATCGTAAAAGAAAGGATATAACACTTGAAGAGAAGCTCGATGTTATCAACCTCAAAATCACCCTTCTCCCCCATCAAGTTATATTCATATTTTTTCAAGGTAAAGTGTTACATTTACTGTATGATTTCATTATTAGATATGAATGTAACATTTATTTAGACTGTGCTATCCTTTGTGTTAGGCTAACTACTAATTTTTTTTCAATTTCGAGTAGTAATCTGCACCTAACCCTATTTTCTCCATAAGCCCTGTTATTTCTATTATGCGATTTTCTATAACACGATATTTTACAAGAACACAACTATCGCGTTATAGCAGAACTGACTGTATGGCTTTTTCTTAAATTTTCTCTGAAAGTTTCTGGTTGAATTTCTTCAAATTGACAATAACACATTTGCTGTAATCAGACACATCTAAGTTGCCTCAACAATTGCAACCCCAGTTGCAATTTCAAATTCTGTGTCATTACTAAGGAATAACGATGTCTCGGGTGCACTCTAAGATTGAGAGAAAACGGAGGACTCAGGCGTCCTGAAGCAATGAGAAAACGGACTCCTCAGACGGGGGACTCAAATAAAGAAAGCATTGCTACATGTTTTGTGGACTACCGGTATACGTAGTATTGAGCGTACCCTTTTCATCACTTTGTAATAAACCTAGCCATACCTATGTGTTTTTCTGATACTTACCATAACATTATGTATGTATTTAGTGGGTCTAAATCAGTGGTGTCAAACTCATTACCTTTCGAGGGCCAATTCTTATTTTAGTTAACCTCTTCAGGGCCAACACAAGTGCTATATCACATATTTGCAGAATTGAAGTTTACAGCTTCACACATTGCCTTACCAGGAATACCTCATTTGGGTTTGTCTGATCTTAAGTACTGTATGTAAAATTCATTTTACTAAATAAACATGATTATATCTATTTCTTTCATAATTCCACTGGATGATAAATTTTACCATCATCCCACGAGCCACACCTGACCATCCCAAGGTGTATTTTGATAATCATTTACCGTTACAGGTACACCACCGATCTTCTGGGAACTGATGGTTTGGCACCTCGTTTAGTCCGGACAAAATTAATAAACCCATTTCATTTATACTGTACTAATAAACCTGTATCATTTATACTAATGTATTTCATTAAATAATTTAACTCACATTTAATTCACATTCAATATTTGTTTAATTAACAATCCTGTTTCATTGACAATGTACTAATAAACTTGTATCATTTATGCAAATGTATTTCATTTAATTCACATTTAATTTACATTTAATATTTGTTTAATTTCAGTTTCTAGCAGTCCATGGTGCTTTCGAGACACAGGAGGTGTATCATGAGTGGGTCGGAGGTGTACTGTTGAATTATTATTACACGAACTCGGTTGGTCCAGCAAAACAGATAATCCGGCAATGCTTTGGAACCAAGATGCCAGAAAATCGGTGGTGTACCTGTAATTGGGTAGCTATATTCCTTTAAAATTAGTTGTCTTTAAAATTATCTGTGTTTTTTTTATTATGTTACAGGCTACTATATGCCATGACAGCTATTATTACTGGGTTTTGATTTTTTATTGCTGAGTTTGTCATTTTACAGGCAATGTATCATGGACTCTTGGGATAGGCAGCGAGTTATTATTACTAGGCTGAACTGTCATTTTTTATAATAATGTTACAGACTATATGTCACAGCATAGGCTGTTGCTGCTGGGTTTAACTATCGAGTGTCAACTGCTTTGTTATCATGTACAGTAATGTATAATGGTCTGAAATATTTTGGACCTCCTCCCCCTGGAAATCTTGAGCCACCTGCAGACACCCCCTCCACTTCTACACAGCCCAGTGACACAGTGTCAAGCTCCCCTGTCCTTTCTACTTCTACACAGCCCAGTGACACAGTGTCAAGCTCCCCTATTCCTTCCACTTCTAGACAGCTCAGTGGCACAGTGTCAAGCTCCCCTGTCCCTTCCACAGTCTGGTGATACATCAGCTAAGTACAGCAAGGCTGCACCTGTAGAACCTGCAGACTAGCCATCTCTCTTGTATAATAAGGAAAAAACAGAGCTTGTTCGAAAGCCAAATCTGATTTAGTTATGAAGCAGCATGTTAGTAAGGTGGAAAGTGGAATGGGCAATCACATTTATTATCTTGGCAAAAGAATTCAAAATGAGCTAATAAATGCCATCAGTGGAAAGATATTAGAAAAAATGATGGAAGAAATCAAAGCATCAAAGTATTTCTCCATCATTTTAGATTGCACACCTGATCTAAGTCATAAGGAACAGCTCTCTGTCATACTTAGGATTGTGTCACTGGAAGACACACCACAAATAAAGGAACATTTCATAGGGTTCCTTGTGACAGAGGAGTCAACTGGGGCAAATTTGTCATCCCTCATTCTTAAAAGGATAGAGGAGTTAAACATCCCCTTTGAGAATTGTAGAGGGCAGTCGTATGACAATGGTGCCAGCATGAGGGGCAAGAATAAAGGTATGCAAGCCAGGCTGCTTCAGCAGAATTCAAGGGCCTTATTTGTTCCATGTGGGGCCCATACTTTAAATCTACTGGTCGCTGATGCTGCTGAGAGCTATCCAGATGCCATTGGCTACTTTGGATATTTGATAAAACTCTTCACACTGTTTTCAGGCTCCACCCAAAGATGGGGTATCCTTTTAAAACACGTCAAAACCACCCTGAAATCATGGTCGGAAACCTGGTGGGAGAGCAAGGTAAAAAGTATAGAGGCAGAAAGATACCAGGCTGTGCAAGTCAGACAAACACTTTTGGAGGCGAGGGAAACTACTGCAGATCCTGTTATTTAGGTTGAAGCCCATTCTTTGGAAGAGGAGGTTGGATCCTATCGTTTTTCTATTTACTCGGTAGTGTGGTATGACATCCTCAACAACATTCAGCATGTGAGCAAGCTAATGCAATCAACCTGCATGCAATTAGATGTGGCTGTAGACCTGTTGAAGAAAACAAGAGATTCCCTTACCAGAAACAGAGACACTGACTTTACTGGTGTACAGACTACTGCTAAGGAGATATACAAAGAGATGAATGTGGAGACAGTACTAAAACAAAAAAGGTTAAGATCAACAAAAAGGCACGTTAGTTACGAATCTGTAGATGAACCTAACAGTGATGCACTCAAGAAAATGGAGATCACCTTTTTTAATGTAGTAGTGGATGCAGCCATTTCTTCCCTTGATGAAAGGTTCCAGACCTTGGGAGAGGTGAATGCCAAGTGTAGGGTGCTACACAACTTCATGAACATGTCCGAAGAGGACCTGATGCAGCAGTGTGACACACTGAGCAACACTCTTACACTTAGATATTGATGGCAGGGAATTTGCGGTGGAACTGCCATTGTTTCCACAATTACCATTAAGTAACATGACAACCATGGAACTTCTGGCTTTCTTGCATGACAAGAAAATGATGGAAATATATCACAACATGTGGGTAGGTCTGAGGATCTCTGCTGCTCTCCCTGTAACAGTGGCCGCTTCAGAGAGGAGCTTCTCAAAGCTTACATTGATCAAAAACTACCTAAGGTCTAATATGATGCATGAACGCCTCAGTGGACTGACCATTATCAGTGTGAATCATAAGCTTTTCAGACAATTATCATATGATGATATAAGAGATGACTGCTGCAAAAAAAATCAAGGGGAGTCAGGCTGCAGAGAAAGTATGCATTCAGTTAACAGTAACTATACCATTAGAGACCACTACAGTACATACTGCAAATTGCTATGGGTACATTTGTCACCAATTTTAAGACTTTTTATTTTTTCTTTAATATTTCTCTAAGCATGACAATAAATGTTTTACTTCTTATTTGATAAGTATTCAGTGCAATGGCCAGTATCTTTTTATGGGGACTGAATTAAAATTCTTTTACTTATTTTATATGTACTGTACAGATATGAGTGTTTGTGTAATTATTTGCTCGGGATAGGCATAAGTATGTGTGTGTTCCTGAAGGTTGGAGTGGATTAGTCAGACCTAGCATGTGTATGTGTGGTGGGGGGACAGCTAAAATTTTGCCGAGAGCGCCAACTTTGCCAGGGCCGGCTCTGCACTAGATGTCACCTTACTATTTCATTTGGCTAACGCCAGCCAATTTTATTCAGCACAGAAAGACCTCTTGTACACAAGGGGTTAAACCAATTTTTTGAGGAGAATTTTAAATGTCAATGAAGGACTTCAAATTTTGCAAAGTCCTGGTTACATTTGAAAAAAGAAAACAAATTCAGGTCTTTCATGAGTGAGAAAGGGATATACTCGTGATAATTATTACACTAAGCTCCAATCTAAAACAAAAAGTAATTTCACAGGTGATCAAAAGAGAAATTTGATAGGCTACTTTATTTTATTACCAAATGAGTATGTTTTATTGTACATTGTTGAAAATATTGTATAGTAATTATCATTTTGAATCTTGTAGCAGAAATATAATTCAACCATCCCACAAAAAAATTAATATAAGCTAATTTATTCAATTCATTCCATCATCTGATACTCTGTACAGGAATCTCACTTCATATAATACTTCAGTACATAAGATATGAAAGATTCTAACTACAGTACAGTACAGTACAGTCCTCCAAGTGCATCCTAGGAACAATCAAAACCTAATGAGAATACGAGTGATCATTTTAAAGTATAAAGTAATCTGGTCTTGGTTGCTAAAGTTTCTCCAAAGCACAGTACAGTACAGTATCATAATGCATGTACAGTGTGTTCCCAATTTTACAAATACTGTATGTACCCTAAATATCATTACAGCACAGAATTAGTCACAAGTACAGTATTTTAGTTGTACAGTACTCTGAATCTCCCAGGTGATAAAATGAATGCAAGAAAAATAAAATAAATAAATAAATAAATAAATGCAGTACAAAAGACATTTCCCTGACACTATCAAGCTGTACAGTAAATTCATATTAATGAACACTGCTAAAAAGTAATAATATCTCCATTAGCCGGATTCCCTGTTAATCTGAACTCTTTGAAAGCCGGAATTGAAATTTTCTCGGAAAATCGTTCCCAAAGCAGGAATTTTCCGGAAAATTACGGATTTGTGAGCGATTTTCCGAGGGGCACATTTTCTGGAAAATTCTGAGAAAATTTTCCCAGTACCAGAAAATTCCGGAGATGGGGAATTTTTTCCGGGTTTGAGAGACGAAAATCAGGCGCATTTTCCGGAAATTCTGAGACAATTTTTCCTGTACCCAGAAAATTCTGGGAATGTGGGATATTTTCCTGGTTTGAGAGATGATATAACGTGCAATTTCTGGAGCTCCCGAGAAAATTTTTGCGTTACCCGGAAAATTCCGTAATGAGTTTTTTTCCGGGTTTGAGAGCTACTACACTTTATTTTAGCCATCTTGTTTTAGTTTGGAACCAATGGCTACAAAAATAGTCCACCAGTGTCACCAAAGACACAACAAAGTTGATAATTACAGTTCTTAGAGCACTTAAAAATAATGTCTGTGGACACAGGCGACTGGTACTGAGCATGCATAGTGCAGGTGAGAAGGATGATCATTAAGAGAATGGGAAGCACCCCAGAATTTCAATCACACAAATGCTTGTGCTCCCAAAGATTGGCAGATTTCAGCCTTGGAATCTTCTTAACTGTGTGGACTTTTTATGTGTAGGTCCACAATTATTTGACTATCTAAGTGGGAAACCACTTATAATGAAGACATTTATTATGAGGACCCCCTGTACTAACCGAATTTTGGTCGTGTTTTTCTGGGTTAGGGATACAGTACAGGTACCTGCATTCAGTGCTGAACCCCAGGCCGGTTTAAGCGATTCCGCTGTCTGTGTGATTGCATTTAAGCCTCTGAAGCAGCTGTGCTCTGTACCAGATGTGCAATTTAGACAAAGAAACATTCACCAATTCCAAGAAAAATTCAGTAGACATGCGATATTTTCCGGAGATAAAAGAATTCCCATCAATACCCGACCTAGAAACGCTCTGCACCAATTATTCTGGCTAAGAAGGAGATTACTGCTACTTATCAGCCCATTAGTAGAATTGATCATTAGTACTATAAAAACAAGAAATAGCTAATAAAAAAAAATAATATAAGTTATACTACTGTATAATACTGTATACTGTAATAATAATACCGCAATAAGATTCAATACACAAATGTGAAAAAAATAAAAAGCTATGCCATGTCAATATGATAAAAGACCAAGTAAAAGAAAAGTAGAAGCATAAATACCTTGTATGGCAACATCATCTTTATTACATACAGTCTAAGATACACAACACACTGCAGCAAAAGAATGTAAAACTTTTCAAATCTTGTTTGGACTAAATTTCAAAACAAAAACTAAAATATTCTCTTTGCCTTTATACGGTACAGTATGCAGAATTAGAGAGATTTCACTAAATTGTATAAGATTAAACATATCACAATCTGAGTATCAATAATCTTCCTTTACATGACTATAGTTATGCATCTCTTCCATGATACAGTAAAATTACAGCATACCCTGACAATTCGCTGATTTTTAATTCGCGGATGACACCCTGGATGTACCCAAGAATGTCTGTGGGTAGTTTTAAAGTTGCCGGCATTTTCGTGGCCGGGACAGGGAGCCATATGGCAACCCAACCAACTCAACTTTAATAACAAAGCACGGAGCTGATTTGAGGGTAGATTCTCGCATTTTGTTCTCTAATTTCTGATTATTTGTGAGAGGATTTTTTCCCATTATTATTTATTTGTATATATTTTGTGTGTACACACACACACACACAAAATGCAGGTAAAAGAAATAGTTGTCCTAAGGGAAAACACATAAAGGGAATATGTATACATTTCTTTGCACATGAGTAAACATGTACTGTACCCCCATCCCCCTGGTCAGCAAATGATATTCGCAGAATTGGCTATTCACATCTATTTTGAGACCCAATCCCCCACAAATTTTCAGGGCATGCTGTACTTACATATTCAAAAGTTTTACAGTACAGTGCAGTGTGTACAGTTTTAATCAGATTATGAATGATCTGTTTTCCTTAGAGTACAATGTTTTTAATATACAATTAAAAATAATTTATATATTTTCCTCTTTTTCAGTACAATATTTAAGCAATGATATTATGGACATTTTTGTTGAAAACGAAAAGAAAAGAAAAAAAAAGAAAAATAATACTGCATAATTTTCAGTATTATAATGTAATCAAGTTGTACAATAGAGTACAGTACTTCAATAAGACATAAGGCATCATTATCATCTCATCTCGTAAAATAAAATCACAATGGTAAGTAAGGCAGCTATCACTAAAAAAGTGATCCCAGATTGCACAAAGAGCTTAAAGATGAGTAATTTCTACAATTACTAAATTCCTCTTTAGGCAATGAGCTTCTGACAGGAAGGAACAGCTCTATGCGAGGTCAGTATAATTTTATTTTAAATTACAAATGCAATATATCCCATAAGAAAATTCTATGAACGTGAAAAGAAGAGATTTGGGAAAAATCGTAAACCTTCACTGGACTCATCTCTCACTGCTTTAGCACATCGTTCAGCCTGTAAAAGTCGTTCCTGAGCCAGAAGAAGGGGCATCCCACATTCTCTTGCCAAGTCTCCAGCTGATACACCATCAACCTCATGAGATTTCAATGTCTCAACAGTTGTTTCAACTACTTTATCTTGATCAAGTCCAGCTGTTTGAACTACTTGGACTCCAGATTCAAATGTGTGAAGATTAAGTGAAAGGTCAAATTTTTTCATTAAGTGACAGGCATGCATGACATCTTCTGGAGACAACAACTGGAGTCCCCTAGCACGGTTAATACGGCAGTACACCTCTGAGAGAAGCATCACACCGCCCACTTCTTTCACTGGTTCTTCTAAGGCTTGGGAAATTTCCTTGGCTAAATGATGATGGTATTGTGTTGCTGACCCATAAGTTTCTCGTGTAACTGGGTCATCAATACCGAGACTTAGCAAGTAAGACCTGAACCGTGTTGTATCGTCTACAGATACTTCTCCAGAGTGTTCTTTGATTTTATTTGAGATACTTTTAGAAAGAAACACCATATCCTTGGCAAGGCCCATTAAATTCTTGAGATCTTCAAAGGCATGACTTATATTTTGGTTTGTCTCTTCTTGTTTTGCTTGGATGGCACGTTCAATACCAAGAATGCCTGTATGGATTGTTTTTCCTCCAGACTGCTTACCATGACTAGCTGGAAGTGATGGTATCACTACTTTCTCCCAATCACGTTCCCCAATAGCGTTCTGTAGAGCTTGTTGAAAACTACTACAACCACCTTGCCTAAATGACAATTTTATGAAAGAGTTGGAGCTTGCAGCGACTGGACCTGCTGGTTTGCTATGTGGTGGCTGAGCTAAGTGCAACAGTAGCTTTGGACTTGAAGTGAAACCACCTGCCTCATCCTCCACTAGCACAACTAAACTAAGGTGTAGCCCTAAAGAAGAAGACTGACTTTCATGCCGCCACAGTAGTCGGTGATTTGTTAATGTCAGATGTCCATCATCATAGCCAGTTCTCTTGTCACCATCATATAGTCGAATTCCATTTGCTGTTGTACAAACTACTTCCCCTGCTGTTAGACTCGAGCCACACCAATACCACCGATCCATTGTCAAGTTTCTTATAACATTTAATTCCACATGTGTTTTAATGACAGATGCTATGCAAGTCCCCAAGTGACTTTACCAAAATAATCCAGAAATGACAACCCTTCTGACATATGGTTCTCCTGCCACCTCCTGAAAAAAGGAAGAAAAACAAATCAGAATTTACTACTCAAAATGCAACAAGTGGGTTCCAGCTTCAGTTGAAGTGGCAGGGAACCAATAGTCTTCCTACTGAATTGGTGTACAGTAAATAAAAACTCAAATTATATCACCCAAGCAATCTCAGCATAATCTCATCCTCACTATGACCATAACCAAAAATCTAACAAATTTGTCCTAGCTGTAACACTATAGCCCCTGTACTGTATACAGTAGCTACTGCATGTGTATGTGTTGGCAAAGTTAATAGGAATTGATCCAGTTTCATTCTTAAATACCAACATGACACACTTGTATATACTACATCTGTATGTTTGTCTGTGTGTCTGTTTGCTATATCCAGCTACACGTTTGAAGACAAGAGAACTGATTTTGGCTTGGAGATGAACATGCATCCCAGAAGTGAAATTTTTCAGGGGTTGGATGCAGTGATCCACCCCTCCAAAGGTGGAACTCCTGCCCCCTCATTAACCCGTTAATGGTCAAATTCATAGATTTATGGATGCGAGTGGCCTTCTCTAAGTGGTCTATTATGTAGATCAACGAATTTTACTTCTTAAAATTCCCACAACATCTGAAATGGCCCGGAAGGATTAATAGTTTTAAAATATGACAAATAGCAACCTTTCATGACACGAGCCCATTTCAGCATCCTCTGTCACCCCAACACCCTCTTCTAAGTCAGATGATACTGTTAGGGGGACGGAGAGTGAAGTGAGACATTTGTGAGGGGAAGGGCAAGGCTTTGTTTACTGATCCTGCCACCGCTACACCCAGCTGCTCTCACCTTACCACTTCCCAAGTTTTCTGCCCCCAACACAGGCTAAGAAATATGCCCAGAGACCTTGTTGCATATACAAGAACATAGTGTTACATGAGAAAGTGCACATTGACACTAGGTATTGCTGCAGCGAGTGTGATTGGTCCACTGTGCTTGATGCCCTGCTTTGAGCAACATACCATCATAAACTACTAAACAGATAAAAAACATTGTAAATACCCGGTATATATTTATAGGTAGTAGGCAGCTATCAAACAGGGAGGTACTACCACCTAAAAAATATTGGAAGCATAATGTGTTGTCTAATGGTAGACCCTGCTGCCATATGGCATCACGAAAATTGTGACCAAGTCCCAGGTTGCTGATCTGACATTCTGCCTCATTTACACACAATTGCTGGATCTCAATTGTTTCTCATACTTTGACAACACAACATAACATACATACAGGTGTACAGTATATCGTTTCTCACTCTTGATCTTTTTTTTTCATTTTTGTATTTATTATTATTATTATTATTATTATTATTTTATTTTCGCCCTCCCTGATGTGGATCAATGACCTGTGCCCAGGTGGGCTAATGCCCCCCCCTCCCCCCCCCAAGTAAAAGTAAGAAACTTTGTTGAAAAACAAAGATATTTATGATTGCAGGGTTGCACATGTGCATAGTAATAAGTAGTAAGTAAACATCATTAGTTAGATGCAAAAAGCACAAACAGGTGTATTTGTATTATGCCACCAGCCCAAACCTTCTGGTGAGTACAGCCAAAATTAATGTTATTCTCAGGTTTCAGACACCAAACAAATAAAGTTCATTTTTTGTCAACCAGTGGGTTTTTAACGTCAACAGATAAAATTTGGAACATTTATCTTTTAAATGTGCAATAAATTCTGGTCAGGGATAGTGTTGATTTATTGTAAAGAGCGGAGAGGATGTAGACTAGATAGTGTAGCAGATGTAGTGTACCTGATAGTATAATCACATACATACCGGTAAGCAAGGAGATGCTCCTCATAGAATATATACTATCAGCAGAATAATTTGAGAAGAGGTGTTTATGTGATCAATGAAACAACGCCTTACTCACCATCCCTATTACCTCACCTCCCCTTGTAATTGAAAGGTACTCACCAGCCCTTTTAGCTTCCTGGCCCAGCCCTCATCTCCACATAATACAGTATGATGTTGCTGCCCATAACAAGTGATGTAAACTCTAAAGCAGATGTCCCATCATCATCCTAACCTCATAGCAATTTGTGTTCCACACACTCCCTACACTAATAGCTTAAGAGCGTTTTACAGTTACAGTATATTGTGCTTTCTTGTTTCTGTTTTCCATAAGGGTGAGTACATTTTTTTAACCAGTTTATATTCAGTCCAATAGAATATCAATAAATGGAGCACAAGTTATTAAAAAATGACAGCACAAAATATGATGAAAAACATTACCATGTGGGCCAAGTGAAATGAGGTGCAAGTTAAGGTATGATATTCAGTTATGTGAAGAGGAAGTTGGAAGAAAGGTGGTAGGCCACTAGGAGTGATGTGCAGATGTGTTCAGGAGTTGGCCTGGTAATGGTTGTGATTGTGAGCATGCAGCTGTTGCTGTGCTTATGAAAGGTTAGTGCAGTGTGACGATGGACTAGTTGGAAGAAGTGTGTGGCCACCGAGCACTAGTCAAATGGTGGTAGAAGGTTGCTTGACCTGTATCAGGGGCAGTCACCATCTTCCATCAATTGGTAACAATCATATAAATTGCAACAACTACTGCTGTGTTGTGTGGTGGGATGAAATATTGTGGCAGTTGCAACTGCTGCCAGTCTCTACCACCTGGTCCACAGCTGCACATCATAACCTCAAATCATGATGGCGTAGCAACTGTAGTGTAAATTGGGATGTGCTCAATTGAAGGGTGGGGGATGTCACCTGCCCTTAAGGAACAGGAGACTCACCATTGTCACACACACAGCCAACCAGTGATAAGCAGTCAATTAACAAAAGTTAAACATCCAATAACACTTCAGTGATGTTGTATGGGTTTTGAAGGCCCTAAAGTTTTGTCTTTTCCAAGTAATGTATGATAATTTCAACCAGCAATACTATTCTCAATACATACATACATATTGGTGGACATTTACTACTCGGTACACTAAATAGCCAGATCACAATTATATGACTTTCAGCTCAAATAAGTAAATACCTCCTTTACTGTATGTTCTTTACTGATCTGTTTCACATTCTGGTATAGCAATATGACAACAGAAATAACACAGTTTTCCAAACTGAATTACTTTCCCACACACACATGGAAATAATAACCTTTGGAAAGATGAGAGGTCCTTACCAAGAGGACCCAAGTAAACCCTTAAAGTATCAAGTAAATGGTCAATATACTGTACTCTGGCTTGGCTCATATACATCAGGAACACAATCAATAAACAAATAAAATCCACAAACAAGCTACCCAAGAACTGCAAAAACTTGTTCAAATCTTGAAAGACAAAGTAAATTGTGTCACTCTAGGAAAAACACTAACATGAAAAGCCAATTTTGCCATGTCTTGAAAATCCTCTTGTAATTTTCCACTTTGATTTTGTGTAAAGCTGGATTCTTCATTGATCTCTATGGAGATGAAACTGAGGAACCATTTCATTTTGCAATGAAGAGGAGACCCATTTTCCAATGGATTTCTGAGGCTGTCCTTGACTACCTGTACTAATTTCACCAAATTTCTCTGTTAATTGAGTTAGCATGGTAAGGTCAATCATAATCTATTTTGAGGTTTTCAGGAGCACGAGTAAATGAAAACAGTAATGAGCATCACAGGTAGGTTAACAGTGTGTATAAAACCTTTTATACAGTAATCCTCCCAGGCTTTGTGTCCTGTATTGAGATGTCATAACAGAGACAAATTTTTGGGCTCAACCAATAACACATGGGAGCAAATTTCCTTCCAGTTCTGTTGTAATTCATAAACCTCTGTCTGTTATGTTTTACTGATAAATAATGCAGGGTTACACAAATAAGGGGTTAAATTGTACTATTTGCTACTGTTATATATAAAGGATGTATACTGAAACCTTATTTTATAGTAAAATCCACAATCAGTCAGCTCCTGGTAGTCAATAAATTTGTCTGGACTAATAAGCAAAAATTATTAGGGGGCGAGTAAGACCGTAATTACTCCCTACAATAATATAGGGCTGATCTTATAATCAACCATGCCTCTCCATCACAGTTTATGCCCCAAAGGGAAGATTGGCTGCAAAGGTTGTCATCTAAAAGTCAGTTACTTGTCAACACAGCACACACATCACATCTGCTTTGGCCATCATTTTGATTCTGAAGTCAGTCTACTACAGTACTTTATATTTTATTCCCTGACTACCCACAAACCCAAGGAAGGAAGGAGAGTATCTGAGCTGCCTAACTACAGGTCTTTGCTAGGAAATAGGATTTCAGAACCAGTCTTCCAATTTTAGCTTCACAGCCTTACCAGGCAGCTCTTGTTAACAAAAGTTAGCTGGAAAAAGAGGTGATGGTACCATCAACACTCTAAGGACTTGGGAGACATGCACCCCATAGAGATTTCATTCTTTTTTCCCAGATACTGTAGTGAAACAATATATAGTTATGATCACAACGGTAATCATAATAAGATCATAATATTGTACAAGTTATATATATAAATAACATCACTGCTAACCTAACTAACCAAGCCTTACTTGTTCAAATTTAAATATACTGTATACTGTAATTTGGTTACGTTATGATAATAAATGATGTCTTAAATCAAAGAGCAAATTTTACATGTGAACCACTTTTCATTAAGTTATAGTAATAAAAACAGTAAGCTATCTCTTGATACTGTACTAGCATGCAGAGTTTGGAGAGATGTCTGTTCTCAGGTAGGTACTGTAACTAGGGATTGGGCACAATCAAAATTCTGACCATAGATGGTGTCATGTGAGTGTTCTATCTAGGTTACCATACCCAACTCTGGTAACCCATGCCTCTTGAAAAAACTTTGCTGCCAATCCCAATTTTTAGTGTGATTATGAATGGTGACACCCTCAAGCTGTGAGTTAGGGGATACTGTACAGTACTCTGCTTTCCGAGATCTCCTCCTAAAATAATGTTTGTGCATATTGAGGATCTGCCTATTAAGGACATCAAGCAAAAAAAAATTCAGGTTAAAAACCAAATCACTGTGACCAAGGCATTCCAACCTAAAGATATTCTTACCTTAAAAGGGTACTGGTAGGTAAAGCAATGTTCCTAGTGGCCAAACGAGTTAGTCCAGTATCAACCACACCTGGAGCAAAGCGAGCCACAGTTCATATTATTGGTAAATTTTCCTCTATGCAGTACAGTATATTAAAAATCGCCACCATGGGGTTATCTTTTTGTAGATCAGAAGCATCTAACTTTTTTCAATTTTATAGATACAATGGAATAAGAGCCAATAACCATTACAAGGTATTACAATTCTCCTGCACATTATACACACATTATTGTAAACATAGATAAATGGGAAATACTTGTACACTGAAGAAAAAAAATACAGTAAGAATAAAACTAACAAATCCACTCCCTACAAGCATTTCACATTCTTAAACTGGCATGGAATAGTGATTTGATGAAGACAAGGAATAGTAACAGATGGGGCCCAAAGTTGGCTCAACGATCACTTTGAGACATGTGACAAGAGCAGAGAGGGTAATCGCAGGGGCAGTTGTTAAACCAGGAGCGACTGATTGCAACAAGTTTCGCGATTTTGTCTGGGATGATTTTTCATACCTGAAAGGCACCTCATCATAGCCAGAAGTGTTTAATAGTGAACAGCGACCAATACCTATCATAAATACAATAAGCCAATTAACCAAATATCACCTAATATATCTATCTTAAGATGGAAGTGCATTAGGTTAGGTTAGGTAGGTAGGTAGGTCGTTTGGTTGGTTGGGGCATTAGGTTAATATTGGGTAGTGACCATTCACGGAACTTTATAATGATTCTTATATAGGGAGATAAAACAAAAATAAATAAATACTGTACACCACTGTACAGGGGTCCATGAATTACGAACGTCAGCCGATGCTTAATGTTTAACCATTTCAGTTACTGTATTTTGTCATTCTTTTTCTTCCTTTGTCTTCAATTAAGTGATTTTAGATGTACCTGTATATAAGGACTTAGACTATGGCAGGTGTTAAGTTATGTTACGTTAGGTTGGGTTAAGTTAGTTTAAGTTAAGGTTAGGTTAACTTCAACTTTTAAATAAACTCTTTAACACATTTGCCATAACTAAGACAGTGTCCACTATAAAACACATATGTGGAAAAATTAACAAAATTGAACAACTCTTAGTGGTAGCCCTGTTCTCATAAATTACCCTAACCTTTACCAAGAACTTTGCCCATTTCTAAAACAGAACAATCATGAGGTACTGGCCGTTGAAAAAGCAAATTTTGGTACATACTGACAGAATTCATTATTACCCTGGAACTATCTATATCTACAATGTGGTTCCTGTTCTTGTATTGCCTGATAATCAGTATACAGCCTTGGCTCTTTACAATTACCAGCTTTGCTCTTACACTATCGGAAATGTTTCAAATTAAAAATATATTTATAGCATGGAATAAAAGTTGCCATTCAAAATTATTCAAAATCAATAATAATTTTGCATTCAACTGTTAAATAAGTGTAAACCTTCTCATGCCCTATCATACTAGGACTCCCAATGACAAAAGGGCAAAATATAAACCCAAGAGGCATCATTGTACTGCAGCCAGACATGCCATGAATGAAAAGCTAAAAACATAACATAATAATGGTGTAGGTGCACATCGAAATACAAATATAAGACTAAAAAACACAAACTAACTCACATGAAAGTGAGACTTGACGACCAACTTCACCTTATGCAGAAAATATTTTATCAATATAGAAAACGAGAGTGAATTTACCAGGAACTTATTCAGTTTTAAATACTTTTTATTTCCATAATTTGCTACAATAAATATAAACTATTTAATGCAAAACAAACGGATTTTTTGGGTGGGTTTCCACAAACAAAACTGATACCATATATTTAAGTACTTCAAAATGAAAAACTGTACAGTATTATATGCTGTACTTAAAACGAAATGCTATAGTAAGATTTGGATAATTCAGTTTCTTATAAGAACATTCTCTTAGAAGCTGAAAAACTTTGTATAATAAGTATCGTTAGGTCACACAGATGGTTCTTTGCTATTATGGACATCCTTAACCTCAAGTTCCTCATCAGTCAACACTAACGGAGGATACTATCAAGAACACAGGCTTTGCTTAGTAAGTAGTCTTACATATATGTTATTATTAAAATTAGTTATCATGTCATTAGGAATAAGATACACACTTTCATTTTTATCTCAATTACACAGAGAATTTTACAGAAATTGGTGTTTTAATAGCAGAGTTTGTTTCCCTTTTGGGCGATCGGTCACGTCTCTGATTACTTTTCCTTTTCATTTATCCTCTAGGTTTACCAGTAAGGCGTGTGATCAAAATACGTGTATAGTTTCCGATTTCTAAATCAATGCCATTAATTATTCATCTATGTTTTACACGCGGAGGTCCAGGGTTCGATTCCCGACTAGTGAGGTGTTGTTTGTATATGGAAGTCCATGTGCTATATGGACTGACGATATATATCAAGGCACCTCCAGTTGCCTCTGAAGATGTCTTGAATAAAGACGAAAGCTAAGGCTCTCCATTGTTTCCCTTTTCCCTGTGTGATTTTATCAAGATATATATAAATACGTGTGTGTGGTTTTTTTTCTTCAGAAGTATGGAACGCCGTAACAGCAAGAAGCAGGGCCTGGTGAGTGAACTCATCTCCGTAGTAAACGAGGAATGCCAGACCTTGCAGAGTGGATTCGCCTCCTTGTTGGATGAAGGACAACAGGATTGCAAAGAGATGTTTCAAAGTGGATTTGATCGCCTTGTAGATAAGGGTATAGAGAAGTGCAGAGAACAAGACTGGACAGAAATACTTGTTTCTTTATTGGATGAAGGACGGCAAGAGTGCAAAGATAGGTTTAAAAGTGGAGGAGATCACCTTGTGGGTAAGAGTATAGAAAAGTGTAGAGAAGGGGACCTGGAGAGTGGACTCAGCTCGCGGAATGAAGAACGACGAGAATATGAAGAGAGGATACAGAGAGGACTCAACTCTTTGTTGGATGAAGGAAGGAGTGAGAACAATGAACAAAGATTGCAGAATGAACTTCTGAGAGAGCAAAGACAGGAGTCCAGGGATCAGAATTGGCATCATGAACTTGCCTATTTCCTGGAAGAGCAAAATCGGGACTCCAGGGAACAGAATTGGCAGAGTGAACACACTCTTCTGGAAGAGCAAAATCGGGCTTCCAGGGAACAGAAATGGCAGAGTGTACTCACTCTTCTGGAAGAGCAAAATCGGGACTCCAGGGAACAGAATTGGCAGAGTGAACTCACTCTTCTGGAAGAGCAAAATCGGGACTCCAGGGAACAGAATTGGCAGAGTGAACTCACTCTTCTGGAAGAGCAAAATCGGGACTCCAGGGAACAGAATTGGCAGAGTGAACTCACTCTTCTGGAAGAGCAAAATCGGGACTCCAGGGAACAGAATTGGCAGAGTGAACTCACTCTTCTGGAAGAGCAAAATCGGGACTCCAGGGAACAGAATTGGCAGAGTGAACTCACTCTTCTGGAAGAGCAAAATCGGGACTCCAGGGAACAGAATTGGCAGAGTGAACTCACTCTTCTGGAAGAGCAAAATCGGGACTCCAGGGAACAGAATTGGCAGAGTGAACTCACTCTTCTGGAAGAGCAAAATCGGGACTCCAGGGAACAGAATTGGCAGAGTGAACTCACTCTTCTGGAAGAGCAAAATCGGGATTCCAGGGAACAGAAATGGCAGAGTGAACTCTTCTGGAAGAGCAAAATCGGGAGAACAAAATTGGCAGAGGGACTCACTCATTTCTCCAGGGAACAGAATTGGCAGAGTGAACTCAACATTTCCTGGAAAAGCAAAATCGGGACTCCAGGGAACAGAATTGGCAGAGTAAACTCACTCTTCTGGAAGAGCAAAATCGGGATTCCAGGGAACAGAAATGGCAGAGTGAACTCAAGAGCAAAATCGGGATTCCAGGGAACAGAATTGGCAGAGTGAACTCACTCTTCTGGAAGAGCAAAATCGGGATTCCAGGGAACAGAAATGGCAGAGTGAACTCACTCGTCTGGAAGAGCAAAATCGGGATTCCAGGGAACAGAAATGGCAGAGTGAACTCACTCTTCTGGAAGAGCAAAATCGGGACTCCAGGGAACAGAATTGGCAGAGTGAACTCACTCTTCTGGAAGAGCAAAATCGGGACTCCAGGGAACAGAATTGGCAGAGTGAACTCACTCATTTCCTGGAAGAGAAAAATCGGGACTCCAGGGAACAGAATTGGCAGAGTGAACTCAATCATTTCCTGGAAAAGCAAAATCGGGACTCCAGGGAACAGAATTGGCAGAGTGAACTCACTCCTCGGCAAAAAGGGGGAAGAGAGGAGTGCAGTGGACAGACCTTACTGAGTGAATTCACACACCTGTTGTCTGAGAGACGAGACAAGAAATGGCTTCGAGGATTCACTCCCCAAATAAAGCGATTCCTGTGTCAGTACGAGTCTTCACGTCTTTGTGATCTCACCCTTACTTTTTCAAACACAAACGTGTCCTTTAAGGTAAGTTTTATACACAACTGACGTAAAATAATTTATGTATTGAAATTAAATCACATAAGTGTGTAGGGATACTTTTTATTTATTAATATATGTATTTTGTTTCTCCACTTTGCTTACTGTCTGCTCGGGCGGTTAGTCTGTTCTCCCGTACGTGCTGAAGTCATGTATAGGCTTCTCTTCAATGTACCTGACCATGTGCTAGTGTTAGTCAAATCTGGACGTAGGGGAACTCATGCTTAGTACTGCTATAACATTCTTTAGCGGGTTTTTGTAAGAGTCCACAACTCTTACTCCAAAGAAGTTTACTCTGGCAGGCTTCTGTACTGATAGTTTATTTAACTTGTGACTGTGTCCTTTTAAGATGCTTGTATTCTAGTACGTCGTCCGTTGTCTATCTGTATCTCGAGATTCGATGATTAGAGCCATCTTGGGAACGCAACATAACATAACCAAGTGAATTTGAAGTTTTGTAGGCAATAAATGAAATGTGGTGCAGTTTTGTTTTTGTTTTTTAATATTCGCATCATTCAGAGAGAAAAAGTATAAGTCTGTACATTCCGTAATCATCATGTATAAATCCGGTTTTACATTTCATTGGCATGTGTACTATTAAGCTACCCTTTTCGCCCACGGGGTTAATGGCAGGTCCAACCGAGGTGTATGTAGGATCCTATATAGACCTTGGGTTCGACAGGGGTGTTAGGGTCTGTGGTGGTTGCTTGTGCTACTGATGCAGTTACTTTTACAGGTTCACAGACGCATCTTGGCCTTGAATTCACCAGTACTGGAGGACAAACTGTTTACACCCGACTCTGAAGTTCGAGAACTGGAACTGTCAGATGAACCAGACGAAAGTTTTCTTTGGGTGTTGGTGTATATGTACAAGGGAAGTAGTACTCAACTGCCCTCGACAAAGATTTGCCTCCGAGTTTGCCAGCTGGCTTCCAAATATCAGATAGATGCCCTCTACCCTGTCTGCTCTAATGTAAGTTTTTTATTTATTTTTTTCTATTTTATTCATTTATCTATTTATTATTTTTTATGTGGATTAGCCCACCCGGGCACAGGTCACTGACCCACATCGGGGCCTGGGAGGGCGAAAATGTAATAATAATAATAATAATAATAATAATAATAATAATAATAATAATAATAATAATAATAATAATAATAATAATAATAATAATAATAATAATAAAGAAATACAAAAAATGAAACAAAGATCAAGAGTGAGAAACAATATATGTATGTTGTGTTGTCAATTGTAAGAGAAACAACTGAGACCCTGCAAGTGTGTGTAAATGAGGCAGAAAGTCAGATCAGCAACCTGGGACTTGGTCACAATTTTCGTGATGCCATATGGCAGCAGGGTCTACCATTAGACAACACATTATGCTTCCAATATCTTCCCAGGCGGTAGTACCTCCCTGTTTGGTAGCTGCCTACTACCTACTACCTCACTGACATACGCTATTTAAATGTAGGGAGTATCTATGATTAATCCTACTGTCTCCTATCTAATCTGATAACTCGTAATGTACCTCACCAACATTTACTTGCTCTCTTTGTTATATATAAACTAATTACTAGTAATTTTGATAACCTGTTAGCAAATTATCAAAATTAGTGATAATTAGTTTATGTTTAATGAAATCTTTGAGACAATTAACGTGAGGTTCTTTTCATGAAATGTGCGTAAGTTTATGCTCAAAATACGAGAATATCAGAGAAGGAAGAGAAAGTATCAGAGGGGAGGGTGTTAGAGGGGGAAAAATGCCCTACGCTCGAGCGTACTGCGGGGGGAGGGTGGGGGTGTCATGAGTAAAGATAATAGTAGCGGTGTCATGTGTGCAGGTAATTGTAATGTCACACACCTTGGTAATAATAGTGTCATGTTTCCTTATCTTAATCCACATACAGAAAATACCTGTCTTATTGAGAGTGATTCCCTTTGTCAGTTCTTGATGGAGGTCCTACAAATGGAAAACCTGCTGGAGATCTACAGTGCTGCTGTCCTCATGAACAGTAGAGCCCTTCTCCACAGATGCCAAGAGGTGATTCAACCATCTTGTTTATTAGACTGACTACAGACTGTATCACCAACTCATTTATGATGTTTTCCATAAAGTTATTATCTTTATCCTCGCAGTCTATTTAGGGGTTTCTTTTACGCTGTATTTCCCATCTTACAAAATAATATAATTTTAGTGGTAAAATACACACATCTATGTTATTGATTCAGGGTTCCTTTTTTTTCAGTAAAACTGGGTAAGCCTATGGATGAAGGTATATACCCCAGCAGTTTCCCCTATAAAAACAAATATATTTCCCATTTATGAATGTTTCGGGGCTCTTTTATGACTTACTTTTTTTTTACATTTTACTTTTATCCTCTTCACCACTGATCGGCTCGTTAGCCGCTTGGGTGATTGGTCACGTCTCTCTTACGCATTATTGTCAAGTACTGGACACGAACTGGGTCCTGATTGTATCTGAATCTGCTCCAGTGCCTCCTTACCGTTGGTACGCCCCAGGTGCATCCTCTTACACTTCGCGACATTGAATCTCAGCAGCCATTTCTTCGACCATTCTTGGAGCTCACAGAAGTCCTTCTGCAGCTCTTCACAGTCCGCTTGGTTCTTGATTTCCCGAAATAACTTGGCGTCATCGGCAAACATTTGTATGGAGGAGTATACAACGTCAGGCATGTCATTTATGAAACAAACAAACAACAGCGGGCCCAATACACTGCCCTGTGGTACCCCGCTTGTGACAGGTACGGATGATGATTTCGTGCCATTAATCACCACACACTGCTTGCAGTCATGTAGAAAGTCTTCTATCCACGCTAGGACACTTCCCCGAATTCCGCTTCCAGGACATTGTCCTTGGCCGACCATTCCGTACCCTCCCATGTTTAATTTTGATGATTTCGTGCCATTAATCACCACACACTGCTTGTCATGTAGAAAGTCTTCTATCCACGCTAGGGAATTCCGAGTTTGAAGCCTTTTGGGGGCGAAAAAATCTAGGTATATGCTGTCGATCTTACCACCCTGTTCCAGAATTCGGGTCCAAAAATCCAGTACCTTGAGTAATTGTGTTATTGTTAAGCAGGACCGTCCCGGCATAAAACTGTGTTGGCAATCCTTTGTAAGGTTGTTTCGTAGTAGATGTTCCATCTCTTATAATGCTCTCAAGTACTTTAAATACTATGCTGGTCAGGCTCACGGGACTCTTATGCACCTTTAGCTTTGACAATTTACTTCTTATAACCTCTTCTGAGAACACAGTGTGGGTCAGCGCAGTGTCGAACCGTCTGTCCTCGCAACAGTTCACGGCCTCACACCCGGTAATATACTTTAAGTTGGTCGCCATCCTTCTTCTGTGTGTCTTATCAGTGTCCATAGCTAAAACACACACAAACACACACACACACACACCCACCCAAAGGAAAGTGTAGTTAAGTGTGTGGAAGATGGAAGACTGAGCTGTTTGTGTAAAACTGCATCATGAAAATATGAACATAAATGACCTAAACAAAGTGTAGTGCAGAAAACAGAATTTGCTAATAAAACAAAAAAACTTCGGTAAACTATACTCTCGTTGTGATGCTCAATAAGTGGTGTTTCGGACTGTAATTAGAGGAATGTTGCAGATGATGAACGTGCATGCCAATGAAGTGTTGTCTTCGAAGCAGGTTGGTGAGCTTAGTCTTAAAGCTTTGAAGCATTTATTGGAAAATCTGGGCGTTGTTTCTTCCGAAGCACTCGTCCTTGTAACTGTTATTACCTGGTAAGTTGTTAATATCCACCAGGGACACAATCACCTGGGTGGTTAATAAGTATAATTTAGTATGTATATAGCTATTAGTTATGTGTGTATATAATTACTGTATATTCAAATATATCTTTCATATTCAGCACATAATTTAGGACGGCATACACATTTAGCCACCCAGATTCTAGTTAATAAATAAAAGCTGTTACTTTAAATTTTCACACTTTTGTGAATATTTATGTGTTTTTTTATAATTTGTTAACTAATTCTTCTGTCCCCGATTTATCAAAACTGTTTAAGAAAAAACATTGCCTAACCCGCCCCTAACTATTACGATGTACACTCGCTTCAGAAAGTATCTGCAAGGTGGGGTCCATTGAATTTCAAAATGAACAGTGAGACTCCCATTGTTTCGGTAGGGTTGTAAAAATCATTTGTCCATTGTGTCATTGTCTAGCCAAAAAATTGCAGATACTTTTTGTTAATTATTTAGCGAGTGTACAGCACTGCATGCTTTCTTCCTCCCACACCCTCCACCAGTCCTTTGCGCCTTCACGTAAGCAATTATCACTTATTTTTCGAATTAAACAAATACCTCTCTCTCTCATTTATTTAAGCGTGTACCTTTAAATACAGCGTAATTTCATATATTAAACAATCATGAGTCATGATTTAAATTTAGCAATGCATGATAGGGCTTAAGTCTATCACTTCACTAATTTGTAATCACAATCTACAGTCTCAGATTATCAAATTCTATAGTATTTTCTTAGAATAGTCAGTGTTCATGCTATTCCTTACTGTTTTTAGTTTTCCTTGTAATAGTGGAAGAAATGTTGTTCGCAGGAGTAAAGCTCAGCTAGCAAAACGGAATCATGAACTCACCAAAACGATTCTTCGTCAAGAAATAGAGGATATCCTTCCACAGGGATGCATATTTAAGTTGTCTGTTGAGACTATAATAAATCTTGTTTTTCCTTCTGATATACCAGCCTCAGAAAAAAATACAGAAATTTCCAAAGTTGCTGAACATCACAGCACACCACTACTACAGCCGAATACCTGTAGCACTCCCACTCCCACCGGGGATCTCAGGTGCTTCCAACTACCAGTCATAGAACCTCTTGGTAAAAGTGTTAGGGTTGTAGGTCGTGAAGTGAAGACACTTGTATCAAATCTGAAGACAAACAAAAAGGTTCTTATCAAGAGTGTTGAATGTCCACACTGGTGCATAAGCACCATCAAGGCGACAGTAGTGGACGCAGAGGGCAAGGTGCTGCAGGTTGCAGAGACGGCTGCAGACAAAGCCTTCGTGAATCCTGTAACACTAGATCCCAGCATGAGCTGCACTTTAACCACCGGTGTTAGAGACAGGTGGTTCAATGCAATGCAACCTTTCCAAGTAACCCTTAATGGAGTTACTTTTGATGGTGAACAAGCATATGTATATAAAAGATGTCCCAAAATATACTTTTGGTGTAGAGATTAATAATGACTTTAAATATTGTACAAAAAAATATGGAAATAATTTAAAAGCATAAAACAAATTATGAACCAAGATTCGTTGACTTACTCATGCTTTGGTCTCAGTAGAAATATTAATAAGAGTTAGTTCTATTAAACCATACTCAACGTTCACATTTTGTGCTGTCAGCTGATAAAAAAACTGTTAACCCATGAACAATAAGAGATATATATATATATATATATATATATATATATATATATATATATATATATATATATATATATATATATATATATATATATATATATATATATATATAATGTACACTATTCTAATTTGGATATAGCACGAGTGTATGGCAGATGTTTAAACAGAATGTTAAAATATGTTTCTTATAAGGGTATAATGTTAACTTGTGTTTCTTATAAGGGTATGATGTTTACTTGTGTTTCTTATAAGGGTATGATGTTTACTTGTGTTTCTTATAAGGGTATGATGTTTACTTGTGTTTCTTATAAGGGTATGATGTTTACTTGTGTTTCTTATAAGGGTATGATGTTTACTTGTGTTTCTTATAAGGGTATGATGTTTACTTGTGTTTCTTATAAGGGTATGATGTTAACTTGTGTTTCTTATAAGGGTATGATGTTTACTTGTGTTTCTTATAAGGGTATGATGTTTACTTGTGTTTCTTATAAGGGTATGATGTTTACTTGTGTTTCTTATAAGGGTATGATGTTTACTTGTGTTTCTTATAAGGGTATGATGTTTACTTGTGTTTCTTATTTAGGGTATAATGTTTACTTGTTTGTTTTTTAGATTATGGTGTCCAACGTGGTTTTTAGGCTTTATTATCTTCTCCACTGATCGGCTCGTTAGCTTCTTGGGCGGTCAGTCACTGTTACGTATTGTTCAAGTACTGGACATGAACTGGCTCCTGATTTCCTGAATATATCGGAACCTGCTCCAGTGTTGGTCAGGTCTGGTCTTGAATTAGCTCACACTCTGTGCTGTCACAATACTTTCTGGCGGGTTCTTCTAAGAGTTCACAACTCTCACTCCGAAAAAGTTTCCCCTCACAGTTTTCTGGACTTGTGGCTTCTTCAACCTCGAGCTGTGACCCTTGTGGGGCGAGCGTCACCCTGTATATTTAAGCCTCTCTCTGTCCATGTAGTCCAGTTGCCTCTGAAGATGTCTTGAATAAAGACGAAAGCTAAGGTGCTCCGTTGTTTCCATTTTCCCGTGTGATTTTCAAGATATATATATATATATATATATATATATATATATATATATATATATATATATATATATATATATATATATATATACTGACAAAACGCTTCTCCCCCTATCTTACTGATACAAGTTTCATCAGGTTGACAAAACGGTGGACGGAAATAAAGTCACATGGCTTGTACACATTGACTACACAATATATATATATGATGGCATTGCACGTAGGTTAGGTTAAGTTAGGTTAGTTTCGGTTTTTCCGTGCCTTTTATGTGACTTTTTTCCTGGATTCGACACCCCCCCCCCCCCGGGAAATAAATACAGAATTACATCATACTTCGTGTTGGTGAATTTTATTGAATTAAATACACTTATCTTTAAACGGTAATTTTATTCAATAATATTTAATTATTATTATCAGATAGTGGAGAATTGCATGGGAAATACTGAATGCATTTTTTCATGTAATCATTGGTTTCAAAATCCTCTTCCTCAGCAATCAATAAATTAAATTATCTAGGATATTAGGAGGAATCTAATACAAGTGTTATTTATCAGATTAATCATTAATTCGTTGACTTAAGATAAGTTTGTGAATGTCAGAGTGCAGTGAGGACGGCGTGTAAGGATGTACCAGCTGGGGGGTAGAAATTTCCCTATTAAACCTCTGTAAGTGTTTATACCACTACTGGTTTTATAATGAATTAATATTATAATTATCCTTGTATGTTTAAAGGTTTGGTTAATGGAGATTTCGAGGTAAAATTTCATATTTCGGTATATTATTATCTGGTTCAATGCTTTGGTAGATGGAATTTTTCAGGTTTTCTCAATAGACTGAATTTACTGTAATGGTAACTGTAGTTCTTCGTTTTAATAATAAGCGAGAGTAGTTAAGTTTATGTTCACAATAGGACATTATCATCATTTATGTATACAGTATATTTAAATACAGGGATGACCGAAACTAAAATTTAGGCTTTGTATCAAGGACTTCATAGCTAACACGTTATTTGTTTTATGTTTATATTCTTACTATATTTTTATCAGTAAAATTATAGTTTAGGTCATCCATGTATTTAGATATCCAAACTAATCTAACCTAACCTAACTTAATGTAACTTAACCTAACCTAACTTAATGTAACTTAACCTAACCTAACCTAACTTATGTAACCTAACTTAATGTAACCTAATCATCCAAACCTAACCTTTACCTTACCATGACCATAATATTTCCTGGATGACCGAAACTATAATAATACCTTTTCATCAATGAGTTGGAAATTGTTTAGTTTGGTAGATAATTAGACGTATAGGCGCGCACTATTTTGTCTTTATCGGCGTGACACAGTGGTGCACAGCCAATCATCTCTGATCGATGCTAGTTGCCAGTGTATGTTTATGAGCCTAATGAACTTGTTGGTTGTTCTTACGTAAAATTATACCATGTAATCGTAAGTTCTTTCTGTTTAATATGCGGGGGGGTCTGGAGGGTTGAGCTTCACGGCTAGGAAGTTAGGTAAGGTTAGGTAGCAATTAGGAGGTTAGGTTAGGTAATTATAGGTCATTTGCGAGGGAAATGTCAAAGGAGAAAAGTGTCCTGAAATTATCTAAACCATCGGAAAACACAGTGCTCAACTCGAGAGCTTTGGTTGGTTGAAACTAATTAACCAATGATTTTAAAAACCGTAGTTTCACTCTGTTTTGTCGTGGACACTGTCGTAGTTTGGGCAAATGTGTTAAAAAGTGGTTATTTCTAAATTAAACCTTAGTGATAAGAAGAAGAAGCAGCAAAAGCTTGAAGATAGCACCAACCTAACCAAAGATACCTACCTAACCTTGCCTAACGAAGCCTTTGCCCAAGAAATGAATATCATAACAGAACTCATGAATGGAAATATAATAAGAAAAGAAACATCAAAACAAATAACACATTGGTGGCTATCCTGTTAATATAAACCAAACAAAAAAATATTGTCAGTTATTAATACAAGTGTGTGAATTTTTTTATTCAATATCTGAAACAAAGTAAAGTCATTTATTGATAGTACGTGACAGGTTAGGTTAGATTAGGTTAGTTAGATTATTTAGGTTAGGTTGTTAGATTATTTAGGATAGTTAGGTTCTAGTAAATGTTGCCTCTTTTAATATACTTACTCTTATGATAAGAACATCTCTGGAAAAATGAACAAAATTGAACAACTTCTCGTGGTAAGTGCTGTTCTCAGACATTACCAAATATATATCCCTCAAACATAGAACATAACATAAGAACATAAGAAAATAAGAGTCTGCAATAGTCCGGTTGGCCTGTGCATGGCAGGTCCTGTCGAGAGTTACTACCACTCTCTATCATAGACCTGTTTTCAGTTGGCCAAGGTGATTTAGCAGTCTGCCTAAGTGGGTAGACCATGACATCATGTGACATCATGGTAGGTTAGGTTAGATAGTTCAGTATTATATGTATACCTTTAGTCCAGGTAGGTGATGATGCGGTCATGGTTAGCAACAATTCGGTCAGCAAAAGTAGGTTTGGTTGGGTTACCTCATATCAAAAAGGAGAATGGGCGAAAAACGAATATTTACCGTGGTGAGAAACATTATATGTATGTTGTGTTGTCAATGGTAAGAGAAACAATTGAGACCCTGCAATTGTGTGTAAATGATGCAGAAAGTCAGATCAGCAACCTGGGACTTGGTCACAGTTTTCGTGATGCCATATGGCAGCAGGGTCTACCATTAGACAATACATTATGCTTCCAATATCTTCCCAGTTTGGTTAGGTCAGGTTCTGTGCATTGTTGTATTGTTTTTATTACTTAATATCATTCAAACAGCATTTGTGGAACTGCTTCTGGTGTTAGCCGTCTCCTCCACCATGACTTATTATTTTAAGATATAGATACATTCTACATTTATCATTCTAGAAATGAAGAAAACTAACCTACCTAACCTTAAATAGTGCAGATATATTTGTAATTTATAATTTTAAAAGATAAAAAATAGAAGTAAAAATAAAATTTATATTTACAGAAACAACCATTCTATAGTCTAAATATATTGTGTGTGACAAGGTCATGTATAGTGTTTAACTGCTGATTTTGGATGTTAGATGAGGTTTGGTTGGCTTTGTTCCATTGAGTTTGGGTCTTTTAGGCCATACGGTACAGTGTAATATTTTAGGCTTTGAGCCTGTTAGGGCATTAGAAGCTTTGGCTGTTAGAAATTTAGATCGTAACTAAGATATTTAAGATGAAAGACGATTAGGTCACAGGAGTCTTTAGGCCAAAAGATATTAAGTACAGTACAGTATAAACCAATACAGTACATTACTCGTATTTAATGTCTATCATAAACAAATTGTATATGAATTCAATTAAATAAAAAAATTACCATATCCACAAAAGAATGATATACAATACTATATACAGAATTAAAATCAGTTAGCTATTGGTTAAGTTATACAGGTTAACCTTTATATTACTACTGTATATCCCCCATAATAAAATGTACTTTATTAAAATCAGTTTTACATGTTATCCTAAACTTAGTGCTGTGAGGAGGCTGCATGCATACAGAAACTGTGATGTCTATATATATTATTCGTATATTGGTCCTGTAAATTGAATAAGCGACCCTAAATGTTTTTTAAATGTTTCTTTAGTAGCACTTTAGCTTATACAGTAGGGTCGGGATATATCGCGAGATAGGGTCCAAGGATGTTCGCTATGTATACTAAATCGCAATATATAATTACAGTACATGTAATCATTGGGGAAAATAGGGTTAGGTTCTGGAGGCCCCAAAAAGTGACTAAACTTGACTTAACGAGTTTATTTTCTTACTAACTAAAGCACCATTGAACACTAGACTCGGGAACAACAGGCTATTTCAATATCATTATCAAGGAACACCAGTCTCAGCAGCTGATGCACCATCCTCGGGACACCAGACTCGGCAGCAGACGTCACACTGCCACACCAACTTGACAATCCCACACCAACATAAACGAACACCAAAAAATATTAGTTACAGTGTTAAATCTTTTCCATTAAGCTTTCCATTACTGTATCTTCATTTTTCACGTCACTAGCAACCCATTTACACTCGCCTTAGAAGTCGTAATCTGCAGCAGAGTCGGCTGCTTTCTCGTCACTAACTCAGAAACACTGAGTGGGCGAGTGTGAATGCGTGAGTCAGCAGCCACGGTGGCGCCTCTGGTGAGCAAATAACGCATTTGTTTGCCATGGCGGTACAATTGAAATATTTCCTGCCCGATTTCCCTTGTGAAATAAAAAAAAATTGTCACTATACTGTATACGTATACGGTAGGATAATTTTGGTGGCCGCGATATTAAAAAATCATTATATACTGTACAGTAGCGATATATCCCGACCCTACTGTACTATACTTCACTAATTGGTCTTGCAGGGGGTACCAGTGAGGCCACTGTGTATAGTAATTCTATAAGTTTGTACAAGCGTTAAGTATTCTGTGCCACCTATCATGATTTATACAAACAATCAATGTATTTGGCCCCCACAGAATGCTGTTGATCCATGTGCTCCTGATACTACTATAAGCAACCAGCTCCTGGAGCGGCAAGCACAGTACGAGCATCTCAAATGCTGACTCTATGTATTGTTCTCTGCTGGAAGATAACAGACTGAAAGTATGGCACTGCCTTCCTCTAAGCTGCTTATTATTATGTGTACACTGGTTGTTTTAGCCATATGGTGTTTAGGCTGTAAGATGTTTAAGCCATTTGATAGTTAAGCCTCTGGGGCTAAATGCCGTATGGCCTAAATGACCAATTCCCATTTCAACCCTTTTTTTTCGTATTTAAGTTGACCGTTTAGAGGGCACAGTTGCCCTGAGGTATTTTATTCTGGTTAATGCTAGATGATTCTATTCAGCTGAGAGCAACACCTGCCCTCTAAAGGGTTAGAACCTATCTTGATTAAGTGGGGCTGCCAGAACTTGGGTTTTTTGCACAAATAGCAGAAAAAACTTATGACCTTGAACATGTATTAGAGCACTGGGTACCCACCAGCAATTAGTGCTTAGGACTTCATGCAGTTATTTTAATTCAAAAGTGGATTGTCATAGTACATACAGCAATCCTGTGTTTTTCGCGGGAATTACATTCCTGAAACCCCCGCGAAAAGCCAAAACCGCGAATACTCTTTTAGTAATCACTGTACCTGTGGCCACCAAGCAGCTCAGGTAGGTCATGCACTTAACCACGCCATGCTCTCCACTCACGGCCCAGTGGTCACACTGATGCACTGTTCCGGTATTTACTAAGATCATTATTTGAAACTAATCATATTGTAGTATAATAATGGAAAAACGTAAACACAGTTATATACAAAAATATTTTATTTACAAGTAATCAAAAATTTATATATTTCGCTGAGGTCAGCAACACCCGCATTGCCAGCCTCTCCCTGCTGTCCCGGCGTCTGCCCGCCCTCACGCCAGCCAGCCAGTCCTCTTCCACCCACATTCCTCCACTTGAAGACTTTGTATTCTGACAAGACGCAAATGAATTGTCAGTCTTCACCACATCTCGAGCCATAGCTCGAGATGTGGTGAAGACTCTTGGTCACTTTAGAGTCTTGACTAGTAATATTTGCCTTTGATGAGGCTGGCTTACGTCCCGGAGCCATGTGGAATGCACGTGGGAGGACAAACAGAAGAGGTAATCACAGTAGCGTTCACAGTACGGTAGGCACGTGTGGACTGAGGCTTCCCGGAGCAGCTGGTGTCTCAGGCGGGAAAGGGTGGCGTCTGTTTGCCGCACTGCACAGGGGAATGTCGAAGATGGTGCGAAATTAAAATTTTTGTTTTTAAGGGATATTTTATATATACCTGTAGTATATAAATTTTTTAGTAAAAAAAATGCGAATGGTCAAACCCGCAAAAACACGGAATTACTGTACCTGTATTGGCTTTCACAACTGACCTGTACAACTTGGGCTTCTCATGTTCTTATGAGTCCAGCTCATTCTGTAGGAAGTAATGGCTAAACAGTGTTATCCTGTTGTCCAGCATTATGCTGTAGAGCTACTTGATAAACTGATACTGTAGTCCCAGATGTATTTATTGAAGCATGAAGCACTTAAAATTATGATCATATAAATGATGGCCTTTCTTAAATATGAATCTTTGCAGATGTAACTGAGAATGCTGTACTTCTGTCCCACGTGTGCAAATCTACTGATTGTGGAGGAGGGGTCAGAGGTAAGATAGCTACTTAAGAATTTAAAGGATAGCTAACAACCCTCTCTGCATGGATACCTTTGTATCCATGTACAATATCCTGGGCCCTCGCTTTACGAGCATTCGCTATATGCAAAATCGCGTATATGTGGTGACCCTATTTCTACCCATAATTCATTTTATTTGGAAAAGATTCCCTATTATGCATTCTGTAGAGGGTATGGCGTACTAGTTTATATTACCGGGTATATTATATTATACAATATTACAGTATATTATATTATCTTATCTTATGTTGATTTCTAAGCTTCATTAGAGTATTTTAATGATTTTGAGTACATCTTTTATAGCATTAATGCTCCAGATATGGTTGTGAAACGTGGCACTGTGCGTGTGTGTGTGTGACATTACAGGATGCGGCTGGAGTGGTGAGTCAGCCACTGCGCACACTCACTTTCCACACAACATCCATGCTCTTTATGTGTCTTAGTTTATAGTTTTATATTATATTTTATAGTTTTATACAGGTATTACAATATATATATATATATATATATTATCTTTATTTCTAACCCACACTAGAGTACAGCATACCATTCAAATTCATGGGGATTAGGTTCTCAAAATGGCCGCGAATCGCCAAATCCGTGAATAACATTTGCCGAGCGGTGGGGGGGGTGATACAGTAGTGTATATATATATATATATATATATATATATATATATATATATATATATATATATATATATATATATATATATATATATATATATATATATATATATATATATACAGTGGCCCCTCGGTTAACGAACTCAATCCGTTCCAGAAGGTCGTTCGTTAACCGAAACGTTCGTTAACCGAAACCATTGTTTCAATGGGTTTTTGGGTAATTGGTTCCAGCTCACCGAAAATTTCCTAACTTCAACAAAAATGGCGGAAAAATTTACTTACTTTGAGGTGTGTATGTAGAAGGCTCCTGGATGATGGTGATGATGTGCATTTGAAGTGGGAGGTGCAGGAGGAGAAGGGAGAAGAGAAGGAAGTGGAGGTGGAGGAGAAGCATTTTACTGCTTCTTGGAAGGTGAGTCACCTTCCATGAAAATGTCAGGAACCTCTGGACTGACAGATTCTCCACCATGAACATCCTCTCTCCTTCTTGAAGTGGAAGGCTGAGGGCTAGCATCTTGTTCCCTCTGCCTTTTACTGAAGAAAGTGTCAATTGTGGTCTGTGGGGCATCTGTCCTCCTCACCATTAACTTATGTTTAAAGAAGGAGACCACTGAGTCCTCAACATGACACAAAGTTAGTTCAGTTTTTCCACTTCTGGGTGCTTTGAAGCCAGTTCCCTGAACTTCTCCCAGTAGTAAATCACATCTTTCAACTGTTTAGCTGACATATGGTCATCACTTTCAATTTCCTCCTCACCACTGTCAGCCTCTACCCGTAACATCTCATCCAGTTCCTTCAAGTCATCAGGAGTAAGTTCCTCCTCATGAGACATCACAAGCTCTTCCACATCCTTCTCCTCCACTTCAAGGCCCAATGACTGACCAATGGACACAATCTCCTTGTCCAACTCTGTCTCATCCTCAAATCCCTCAAAATCATGGACTACTGATGGCCACAGTGCTTTCCATGGAGAATTGAGGGTTCTATTGGAGACTTCTTGCCATGATGACACAATCAATTTTACAGCCTCCAGGACGTTGAATTGTGTCTTCCAGAACTGTTTCAGTGTTAGTTCAGGATCAGTGGAAGTTGCCTGATGACACCTCCTAAACATTTTCTTCATGTACAACTTCTTGAAGTTGCTGATTACATTCTGGTCCATTGGCTGTATGAGTGATGTAGTGTTTGGAGGCAAAAACAACACTTTCACAAAGTCAAATTGATACTCCAAATTTCTGGCAAGGTCAGGGTCATGACCAGGAGCATTATCCATGAGGAGAAGAGCCTTTAAAGGAAGTTTATTGGTGGTTAGGTAGCTCTTGACAGAGGGGCAAAACACATCAACAGCCCATTCATTAAAGAACTGTCTTGTCACCCATGCCTTACGGTTGGACTTCCAATAAACTCCAAGCTTTGTTCTTACCACTTTCTGTTGCTTGAACACCCTGGGGTTTTCAGAGTGGTAGACAAGCATAGGCTTCAGTCGGAAATCCCCTGAAGCATTGGCACCAAGCAGTAGAGTGAGACGGTCTTTCATGGGTTTATGCCCAGGTAAAGAGGCTTCATCTTTGGTGATGAATGTTCTTTTGGGCATCTTTTTCCAGAACAGCCCAGTTTCGTCCACATTGAACACTTGCTGTGGAAGATAATTTTCTTCTTTCATCAGTTTTTTAAATTCAACTAAAAACTTTGCTGCCCCTTCTTTATCAGCACTAGCAGCTTCACCATGCCTACCAACACTTAAAATGTCACTTCTTTTCTTAAATTTTTCGAACCAGCCTTTGCTAGCCCGAACATCTTCAAATTCTGTTCCTGAAGAACCAGGTTGATCTGCCTTTAAATGTTCATAAATCTCCCTGGCTCTTTCACAGATGAAATCACCAGAAACTGAATCACCTTTCATCTGTTTTTCCCTAATCCAGATGATAAGTAACCTCTCAGTTTCTACGATTAGGGATCTACTTTTAAACACTCTTGTAGATTTGTCTCTCACGTTCACTTCCTTAAATTTGTCTTTTTGTGCAAGAATTGTCGACACAGTTGATGCCGACATGCCATATTCTTTGCATAGCGCATTTGATTTAATACCTTGTTCGTGTTTTTTTATTATTTCCTGCTTTATTTGGATTGAAATCGCTTTTCTTGATCTCTTAGGCCCCATGCTGGATTCAAACAATGACAACACGTATTTTTCAAAGTTAAACTAGCTGTAAATAAAGAATATTTTCTTTAAAATAACACTGCACTGCACTATATATTGTCAATATGTAAAATAATTTTCAAAATGACCAATAATTTGCTTGAAAACACAGAAAAAAAGCATTTAGTTGAAGAGAGTCTCAAGCTAGATGTTACCTCCAGTGAAAACAGAGAGAGACTGACGCCTGTTTGCTGTGTTAAGAGGCTGGATGCCGCGCATTAAACTAGTCACTTTACCTTCAATTTTGTTCAATTATTGTTAAAATGACTAAAAAATTGAATATTAAACTTTTAAAATTATTGAATAGTATAAACTTCTTGATATTTACTAAAATAGTAAGGAATTTAAGCCCTAGAACCGATTAATTTATTGGCGGACTGATACTAAAGCTGGTTGCCCGGTCAGTGCAAGCGAAAACATGTTGAGGTCGGTTCGTAAGAACTTCGTTAAGCGAAATTTTTTTCGTTAACCGAATTGAAGATCCTTATGGAAGGCAGTTCGTTAATCGAAATTACGTTAACCGAGGTGTTCGTTAAACGAGGGGTCACTGTATATATATAGTTATATATACTGTATATATATATATATATATATATATATATATATATATATATATATATATATATATATATATATATATATATATATATATATATATATATATATATATATATATATATATATATATATATATATATATATATAAATAAATAATAATGGGAAAATCCCCTCACAATTAATCAGAAACAAATTTATTAAAATTGTGACAGTCTACCCTCAAGTCTACTCTGTGCTTTATTATTAACAAAGCATGGAGTAGACTTGAGGGTAGACTCAACGTTTTCAATACATTTGTTTCTGATTATTTGTGAGAGGATTTTCCCATTATTATTTATTTGTATGTGTTTTGTGACAGACACACACACACACAGATGCTGTAGCTACTTCACTCCTGAGCAGTTGCTTCAAGTTTATAAGGGATTCATTCATCCTTACTTGGAGTTCTGCTCTCATATCTGGGGTGGCTCTTCTGTCCAACTGTTAGATAGGGTGGAATCAAAGGCATTTCGTCTTATTAACTCTCCTCCTTTAGTTGACAATCTCTTTTCCCTTTCTCTTCGTTGCAATGTTGCTTCACTCACCTTCTTACAGGTACTTTAACGGGCAATGTTCGGTGGATTTGGCATCCTGTGTACCACCAGCAAGGCCGTGGGGGCTCGTAACACTCGTCTTGCCCGCGGTGCCCACCGTTTCTTTGTGGATGTCAGTCACACTAAAATAACCCGTTATAGTACATTCTTATTTCCTCACTCAGGCAAACTGTGAAATGCTCTGCCTTCTTCAGTCTTTCCATCCTTTTACAATCTGTTTTACTTCAAAAAGCTGGTTTTCTAGCAGCTTCATGGTAACAAGGTCTTTTTATCCTCTAATTTTATTTTTATTTATTTTTCTTTTACTCCTGTTTTTTCACCCCCCCCCCCCCTAGGCCCTGTTGTGGGTCGATGACCCGTGCCCAGGTGGGCTATTCCCCATTAAAAAAATGACAGAGTATTACCGTTTAGCGATGAATTGCTACCATGCTAAGCCTTCCAGCGCTTTGCCACATCAAATTAATAACGACAGTGTTAAGACTTACTTTGTATTCTTTACATGAGAGAAATAAAACCTGGGTTTCTAATTACCCGTTTTTAAAGGCGGTGTTGCTTTTTGGGAAATAAGCTAATTGTTAAGACTAATTCCAGCCACGTGTCAAAGTCTCCTTGGTCCTTGGCCAAAAGTGTAGTGAATGCACATAATCAAGTCACCAAATTTTTGGCTCTTCTATGAAATGGGATTTCAAGATCAATTCTTCACTTATCATCAGTTCATTGTAAAATATTCAGCAGTTCCAATTGTAGATTATACATCACATTGTGTGCAGGTGGCTTGAATTTACTTATAACTCTAAATTCTATACATTAGTGTACAGTATGTACTTATCCTATAATTATTAATAGCCAACACATTTCATTATATTCTAATCAAGCTTCATAATTTTGCTAAAGTTGATAAAATAGTATGTAGTATTATTGTTATATTAATTTTGTATTTAATTTTTTGCAGGGCATGCGCTTCTCTTGTGTTACCTGTCCATATGTATTCCCAGTCAAGAGATGTGTGTCATACAGGATGTACCCAAAGCTAAAGGCGCTTGACGATGTTCTCGGAGGCTCTGCTGCTTGGAAAAACGTCGACTCCACAGATGAACCTTGTCCAAAGTGTTCTCACCCCAGAGCTTACTTCATGCAGGTGCAAACTAGATCAGCTGATGAACCTATGACTCTGTTCTACAAATGCTGCTCTCCAACCTGTGGTCACCGCTGGAAGGAATAATAGCTTACTGAAAACTACCTTATTTATATATATACTTTACTGTATATAATATAGAAATATAAAGCATTTAAATATAAACATTTATGTTACTGCAAATTGGTGTTGTTTGATGAAGACTATTGGTGTGATTCTACGATCAGCAAAACTAATGAGTAGCGTGGCAGCAGAAGCTGCAACTAACGGTCTTCCAATGAACAATGTAATTCGTTTGGGGGAAGGACCTTCCTTAGCCTCTCATGCTGAAAGAGCTGCTGCTGCTGCATTACTTGCTGGCCATGTAATTTCTGTGCCAACTGATACACTCTATGGAATTGCTGCTTTAGCTCAGAACAATACAGCTATAGAAAGGATTTATGAGATTAAAAGGCGTAGTTCTACTAAACCTCTGGCTATATGTGTATCAGAAGTGGACGAAGTTTACCTCTGGGGTAAAGTAACTGTACCACACTCATTACTTACATCATTGCTACCGGGGCCAGTTACATTGGTGTTTCAACGCACAGCACAACTTAATCCTGCACTAAATCCTGGAACTGATTTAGTTGGTATTCGCATTCCCGATGAGGAATTTATTAGAAGTGTTGTTAAAAGCTGCGGTTCACCTTTAGCTTTGACAAGTGCAAACATAAGCACCAAGGCAAGCCCTCTGTGTGTTGAAGAGTTTCGTGAGCTCTGGAGCAAACTTCATACTGTCTTTGATGGTGGTCCTCTAGGTGAACACTTGAAATGTAGGGAAGGATCAACAATCATTGATCTCTCTCAACCAGGGTCATATAGACTTATACGAAGAGGAATTGCTTTTGAACAAACTTCTGAGATCCTCCAGCGTTACAAACTTTGTTTAATTGATTAACGTTAGAAAGTGTACACAATAATTACTTGAAGATACTATGTCACAATGTTGAGATGAAATAGTTTCTAATGAACTGTTAAAAAAGATTAAAGAGCAAAATGTTTAATCAGCGTATTAAGCGTGAGCGAAGGGAAGCAGCCATTAGTGCCTCCCTGGTTATGAGATTGAAAGAGGCAGTGCAAAGTGTATTACAGCCTGGAGGTACAGGTTGTAGTAGTTATACTGGACAAAATTCCTTCACAGGATCTTTGGGACCAATTCTTGGACATTCAGACAATACAAATGCTTTGTGTAATGTGTTGGAAGCAATATTTATTCATGGACTGCGTGATTCTTTGGGTGAACGAATGTCATCTCTTCTGGGATCTGACCCTGACCGGATGCCTGTCCCAAACTTCTGGCCAGTCATCTTAATCATAAGCCATAGGGACTTAATAGAGCAGGTGGGTACTCACAGGCCTGTTCAAATGATAGTCATTTTTCACAATACAGTAGTATACAAATGTCCTATTAAATAACCATTTGACATGAATGTTAACTATTAGTAGTTTTTTATTGTAGTTGTTCAAAAGGTTATGTATTGATAGAAGAGTGCTATCTATATGTTTTGTTTAATATATACAGCACACCTACTTAGAATTTACCCCTAATTATGCCTCCTAAGGGACCAACAAGCAGAGGAAATGGTTTATACTGAAGAAATTAGACAGTAATAGTACATTTTATGCATTATTTTGCCTTTTTTAACCTTTGCTTTGATGATTCAGAATTTTCGCTAATCCGGAACCGGTCTGATCCCAATATTCACGGATTAGCGAGGTCCAACCTGTACAACTGTCGTGAACAGGACGTATGTATTTACCCCAGACCGGGTCCAGAGAGAGAGCCACTGAGATAAATACACACGTCCTGTCCAAGAGTAAATGCAAAAAGTATGTAACTGGTAACAGTTAGATGTGTAAAACTGCAAATAACTGTACAATATATATATGAGATTTTTGTTTCTTGACTGTAGATCCAAAGTTTTGACGCCCTCCACTATATTTACAATGATAAATGTGGCCCAGAGCCTACAAAAAGTCTGGGACCACTGTTGTACAGCATATAGGAAAAATAGAAAGAGTGCATATAATGCAAAGAGGATTGTTTTATACCAACACAATATGCAGGTGTTAGAATCATTTAATATTATTGCTTTGTAGGCTATTAATAGCAACAAATACAGGTATCCCTCGCTATACGAATGGGTTACGTTACTGTAAAATAATTTGTTAAGTGAATTTCGTTTAGCAAACAAAAATTTTTTTGGGGAAAATGGGGTTTAGTTCCCAAAGGACAAGAAAACCTCCAGTATCATACCTCAAAAACATGAAATCAGTTCCCGAACAACAAAAAAACCTACCTAACTAATGATAGTAGTGCGGTACATAACTACAGGGTGTACTGTGTTGTAATTTACTGCCTAACACATTAGAAATATTATTAAAATACTATCTACAGTATATGGAAATGTGCAGCTAAAACTGTTCAGGAAAAGCTAAATCAAAGTTTAACAAAGCTGCCTGTGGTGTCATTTGCATAGCTGCTGGCTGCTTCATGTTTGGCTGCTCTCAAGCGTTGCCATATCAATGCATCCTGACTACCTCTGCCGAACCTTAGCAACGCTCCCACTCTCACACATGTAGAAATGTTTAGTCCCTTTATATTTTTGACCTTATGATAATTATTTCTTTAAAAATTTTTGCCAATTATGTATGTAGGATTGTGTGTGTGCATGTAACTGAGTAAAAAAAGTGAAGAAAGTTAAGTTTATCTATCCAAAACTATGAGTTAAAAAATAATAATAACATAACTCCTCTCAGCTCATCCTGCTTACTCACTGGTGCACGAAGAAATGTTTATTCACTTTATGTTTTGATATTATGATAGTTAATTTTTTTTTTTATATTTTGCACATTCTGTATGTAGGATTGTGTGTGGATGTAACTGAATGAAAAAAAGCAAATATGAGGGAAGTTATGTTCATATACTCATAACTACAGTATTAAGTTGAAAAATAACTATTGTACAGTATAACATAACTCCTACCTCAGCATGGTAGGGAGAGCACTATTGGGATGTGGTTGCCTCAGCTGACTCCTGGGGGGCACATGATTTGTGTGTTTGCTGGGACCCAAATTCGTATAAGCAGGGAAAGCTTTGTGACATGAAAATGAGGTGGTAATTCAGGAGATTAAAAAAAGTGAATTTTCGTATCTCGAACGTTCGTATAGTGAAGGATACCTGTACTTGTATTATGTTATAACATAGATATACAAATATGCTTTTTCTGCTATGTAGGTAAGCGAGCTGTCATTCATCAGCAGTGAAGTTGGAAGAAGTCGTGCATGGGTACGTGTAACCGTCAATCAGGGACAGATCTGTAGCTACCTCAGTGTGTTGCTGCATGATACTCGTACTCTCAAGGACTACTATAGGTAAGACCTAACACAGGATAAAGCCAAGTTGATGACACCTTCAAGATTAATACTCATAGAAAATGTTAAATTTTTATTTGTGTACGTGTATGACAGAAACTAGTGCTAATAACACTAGTCAAAGATGCTTGACAAGTGGGCACTGAAAAGTGGTGGGCAGGGTGAGAGGTTGGCCATTAGGGCTGATGGCCTGAGCAAGAGGTTGACAGTGAAGGGTAAAGGGCAGAGTAGGGTATTGACAAGTGATGGAAAGGGAATGGCAGCGAGGTTTGATTGGCAAGACAGGACAGTGAGAGGTGGTGGGGGGGGGTTGAAGATTTAGAAGGAAGTATTCAAGTACTGAAAAGATGTGGGATAAATAGGGACTTTTAATGCTGTTCAAAACTATAGAGTTTATATTGTAAGAGATGCATACTGTATGTTCAATGTTTGTCAAGGAGAGAGAAGTTAGTAGAAGTAGGAATTCATCAGTAATGTGTAATGTTACCATGGAATATTAATATCTTCATGGTTAGAGTAGTAAGAGAGGTAAAAGCAGGAGTGATGAAGTGTATTTCCTGGCCCATGAGATGCTTTTTGGCTGTTAAGATGCACCTTAATATAAATAAGGAAATTTGGGCGAAGAAATATTTTTAAACTTACAGTAGAATTGCGATATGTGGCTTTAGGCAATACAGACAGTGACCGCTATACAATGGATCAGTATACGCTTGATCAGTTTTACAATAAAAAAAAATTTAACCATTCACTGCTATCCAATGGCTAAAGATCAGTTTTATTATGGTTACTCCCCGAATAGTCTTCCTGCATTGTCACTGCTATGAAGTAGTGAAGGGCAATAAGTTACAATATTCTGAGATATGATGACGCAATCTTGGAATGGCGTAACACATGCGACTCACGTGGGAGGTTCTGCCCGTGCTCAGTGATTGCCAGGCTAAGCAGTTGAACGTGTCACATCGCCCAGAGGATGGTTTACGTGTGGAAGAAGCTATTCTTTAATCGTAAAATAATATACCTGTATACTGTACTCTACTGGTAAATGTGTGGAATAAAGAAAAATAATAAAAAAAATACTGCTTTGCCATTTGGCAATCTTGTCACTAGTACGGAACAACAGAGCCGTGAGAGAACTCCATTCCCTCACCCTTGCGCCCTTGTGCTAACTCTCACACAAAATAAATATTTAATCCCTTTATGTTTTTATTTCATTTGATTTCTTTTGGACAAAGTCTTTATGAACAATTGTGTGTGCATGAAATCAAGTAAAAAAAGAAAGTTAAGAAAAATACGTACAGTATACCTACCTGAAAATACAATTTGAAAAATAGCAATAATGCAACTGACAGCTTGGGAAGCGGAGATACGTACTGACACTATACCTCCTTCCCATGATTCCTTGGGACGTAAGAAATGTTTATGCCCTTTATGTTTCTGACCTTATGATGATTATTTTTTATTTATTTTTTCACATTTTTATGAATGATTGTGTGCCTGTAATAAAGTACAAAAAAAATTACATATATCTACCCAAAGTTTAAAAATAACAATAATGCTGCTTAAGGCTTGGCTGAGGGCTGGGATACCGAAGCCTCACCTCTCTCCTGCTCCTGTGATCCACACAAACTCATGGGGACTTGAAAATTTTTTTGGTAATTTTTTATCTCGTAAATAGGGAGGTGGTCTTAAATCATCACCATCATTAAAGCAAGATACAGTATTGTAAATAGAGATATCATAAATCAAGGTTTACCTGTACTGTGTGCATTTCAAATCACTGTGGTGGATATTAACTCATAAAAATATAATTTTTACCCCCCAAAAGTTATAATATTATATACAATAGTAAAATACTGGTATACCCCGATAACCGATGCATATGGGGACTGTGAAAAGTCATTGGTTAGTGAATCAATGGTTATCGAAGCAATTAATCCCATAAGAATTTAAGAAATTTGGGAGGTTTGGGACTGGTCACCCCACAAAAACTCCCATCTGCCCTTGATATATCTGTTGTGCACACTGTCAAGCAAGAAAAGAAAGCAAGCATAATAAGTATAATATAAGGAATAAAAAGCATAAATTCAGACTTATTTACCTGTGTTGAGGATAGAAACCGTTTAGGGTGACAAGTTCAAGTCTCTACCAATCTGTGTTGGTCCATCACCACTCTTATTATGCCTTATAACATCACATCAAGCAGCACAAGAGGAACTATCACTGGGGCATTTAGACATGATTTCATAACACGAAGTTGGAAATAATGAAAAAACATGAAGTCAAAGACACAGGGTAAGTGTAAACAAGAGTAAAAATTATGGGAATGAGTCGGTGGCAACTCGCAGAGCCTTCTCTTGGCATAGAATTCGCACCATGCCACTGCCTGTGAAATTCAAAACGGCTCATCTGCTCTTGTCCCAATCATTGAATCACGAGATATCAAAGAAACTTTTAGGTTATTTCCCCAATATGTAATTGTCAGTTATGTGAAGTGATGGTTAATGGGATGTTGGTTTTTGGGGTATAATGTACTTTTATACCCACCCAACTACAAGAGAACACATTAAATTTCAATGTTGGCATATTTTTAGGGCAACTATGGAATACTTCTAAGATTCGACACAACTCTTTGGTGGGAAAAATTGGCAAAACTTGAGCGCGTTGCCACTTCTGTTATGCGGAAGTGGACAAAAACATATTAATGCATCCACTGTGCGGTAAAGGGTTAAGATTTTCAAAGGTGCTGTCAGTCAGCCAACAGTACTTGGGGCTGAGGAGGCAGAAGTGGTGCTTGTCTGAGGTTCAGGTCAGATCATTGTGTAAATAGACCAATAGAAAAAGAAGGAATCAGCTGTAATGTCACCAAGACTGTAACATGCACCTGGGCTTTCCTTGCAGGTCAGGTCATTGTGTGAACATAAAAGTCAGGGATCAGCTCAACTGAAGCCTTTAGAAAGTTTCAAAGCCAAAGCCAAGCCAGAAAATCCTACCTTCCAGAAGCCTAAGCTTCAACCCCATGTCTGATGGAGATAAACAATCATGTTAGTGGAGGAAAGTTATTAAGCTTATTTTACTCTTCACCACTGATCGGCTCGTTAGCCGCTTGGGCGATCGGTCACGTCTCTGTTACGCATTGTTGGCAAGTACTGGGCATGCACCGGCTCCTGAATGTACCTGAACCAGCTCCAGTGTTGGTCAAGTCTTGTCTTGAAAGAGCTCACGCTCGGTGCCGTCACAACACTTTCTGGTAGATTGTTCCAAGAGTTCACAACTCTCACTCCGAAAAAGTTTGCCCTCACGGTGTTCTGGACTTGCGGCTTCTTCAACCTTGAGCTGTGACCCCTTCTGGGGCGAGCGTCCGCCAGCTCCAAGTAAGGACACTTGACTGAGTAGTGCCCCTTGAGATGCTTATACACCACTATTAGGTCACCCCTTGCTCGTCTGTAGTATAAGCTAGGCAAGTTCAGGCGCTCCAATCTCTCAGGGTAGCTGAGGTGCCGAAGTGCAGGCACGAGTTATATTGGTATGAATGAATTGATAGAATGTGATGATATTGTTGGTATGGTTTTGCTAGGATATTCTCAGTTGTTTTTGTAAGTATATATATATTATTTAATCTTGCAGACCAACAGCATTTTTGCGTGATCCAGAACGCGGAGACATTATGTTGAGAGTTCTTCAGCCAATATCCTCACTTACTTTCAACCTAGCTACCAATGCTGCTGTCCTCAACACCTGGACACAGACACCACTAGTGCTAGCTGGACTATGGGCACCAAATGTTCAGGTGAGCAGAGGATTTATCAAAATGGGACAATTTACACTACAATTGGTAATGTTTAAAACCTTTTGAGTACAAGTTTTTGTTAATACTTTTACAACTTTGTAATTGTTGAATTTAATGCTGGTAAAGATAATGCTTGCATTGGTTTGTATTAATGCTATTAGTATTTTTTGTCTTCCTTAGGTTGCAGTGTCTGATCCTATTTTGGCAGCAACAGATGTTGCCAGCACGGTATATGATGGACAAACTACAAATGTGAACAGTAATGTATTTGAAACTCCAATAAGTGACCAAATGTTTGACATGATTATTGGAGGAACACCAGAAACTAGTTTCATAAGTGATTATATGGAAAAACATAAACCTTCAGCAAAATTTGAAGATGTTTCCACTCCTGGTGAAACTGAGCAAGATTTACTTGAGAAACCCAAAGATGCACAAGGAACAGATAAAAAAGAGAAGAATGAATCTACAGTGTCTGGAAAAAGTGAGAGAGATGTACAAGACCATAAGAAACCAGAAGTTGTCTTAGATGAAGACAGTTTGTTGGCAAATCAGAATAATCAGTTTGAAAATTCGTGCACTAGTACGTTAAGTAGCAAAGGCTATGTGAGAGAATGGAGCGAAGATTCCCTCTCTCGAAGTGTGATTGAAGGAGCACCAGAATATGATAAACTTTTTTCAGATTTTGGATCAATTGGTCTTTTTCCCTCAGTGCCAGGATTAGCAGTAGCTGATTTAGAGCCATCTTCATCATCTACTTCAACCCCAAGTGTTGAGGTATCCAATGAGGTAAGACTTACCATAACTCAAAGTTTTCAGTTTATATACCCATTTGGAGACTTCTTACACTTTTTTGTGTAAGAAGTACTGTACTGTATAGTGGAAAATATGAAAAATTTGGGCTTTCATTTGATGTATGTTTTGAGTATGATTTTGGTTCATACACATCATACACCAGGCATTGCTGGCTTGGGCATGCTCGTCCCCTGAGAGTTAAAACCATGTGATAACATGTAATGAATCTTCACTGATCATAGTGGTAGCAAAGAAAAAAGCTAATTACACAGTGAGCGAATTATTTACACCATGAAGTTTTTAGATATGTCTGACAACCTGCTTATGTGGCAGCCACATATTCATTACCTCAAATAGTCTTGTCAGCGTGCTCTCAAGTTATTGAGAGTCTTGGGCGCACTTAGTGGGGTGCTAATCGAGGAACTTTGCTACACCTATACCACTTGCTAGGTAGACCCAAACTGGATTATGGGTGTGAGGTTTATTCCTCAGCCACTGAAGCTAGACTCAATACACTGAACTCTATTCATCATACTGGGGTGTGTCTGGCAACCAGTTGAACCAGTACCTTCAGGTGTAGTGTGAGATGAAGTGGATGATGTGGCTGTGTACAGTATACTGTATATACTCGAGTACAGTTTGAGTTCTTATGATCAATTTTTTATGCAAAATGTAAAGGATTGAACTATATATGTATAGTATTTTTGAGGGGTTAAAATGAATATATAATAAATGTCGGTAAATAAAAGTTACTGTCTTAATTGTCTTATATTTGTCATTGATTCAAACTACTGAACCAGTAGTTAGAAGGTAACAAGTTACTTTTCTTCTGTAATAAAGTACTGTACCTTACTGTACTGTATTACTAAATTTAGTTATTGAAAACCTTTAAAATTTCCTATGCAGAAGCTGTGTTGCACAAGTAAAGGAGTACAATACCTGTACAGTTATACTTGTCCTTATTATTTTAGAGTAGTATTAATTCAAGTGAATTCTCTGGTTACAGTATTTAATTTTTACTCAATACAAAAATCCTGTCACTGAATGATATTCATAACTTTCTTTCAGTCATCACTCTCTGATATTGCTGAAAAGCTGAACTATGAGATTCTTCCACATCAGCTACCAAGTGAAGAGGTAAGACATAGGTTTGGAACTTCAATGTCTTTTATAATTTGTAGTTATAATTAAAGTTTTTGGTGGGGACTATTTTTTACAATAAAAACTGGATGCAGCATACCCTGGAAATAACACAGTTTTGTAAGTCTCACATAATCTTTTGCGTGCAAGTACCTGTACTGTACATATACGTTCTGTATATACTGTATGTGTGTATGTTTATGCATGTTTTTTCTATACTGTACAGTATTAATGCTTATCCTGTCTTCTGTGTATTCTACCTGATATTCCTTTAAATTTCTTAAGTTTTTGAAGCTTAATAGTGGATTTATGGTTTTTGTATTGGGTTGTGGGCCATTGTAATGGTGATGAAAGTTTAAACAATTGCAAAAGTTGAGAGTATAGTTGTTCAATTACAAGACTATGGTGTCGGATCACTTGACAAAATTTGGCGTGAACCTTGTGGAAGGGCAAGGGGAAGCAAAGTAACAGAACAGGCTCATTGTACCAATAATTTTGGATGAAGTTGTAATCCCAATTTATTATTTGATAGTGGTCATCTTAACTGGGTCAGGGTTTTATCCTGAGGCCATAGATAAATTCCTGCCGTTCCTGCGAGGACTGGCGAGTAGGGTTTGCTAATATTGTTTTTACACTTGTCTTAAAAAAGGGGGGAGATATCAACATTGTCAATGAAGGTCAAAGGCAGTCTTAGGTGCCTCCTCAATTTTATTTCTTCCCTCTCTAGTTAATTATAAGTTTGCAGATCTGGTAGGTCAGCAGCCAGCACTAGTTAAGGACGGCTATGAGTTGAAGGTTTTTCATGAAGAGTTGCATCAAGATCTCAGCCCATAAAATTTGACCTTGAATGTCTTTCATGGAGTGACTCAGATGTTCATATGGAGATAGCCTGAGAATATATCTAACTTAAACAATTGATAAATGGTAATCAGTTATGACACAAAAATTCTTTTAATGTCTGAGGTTAATCTTTCACATACTTTTTCATACTATGTCTTCAGTAAGGAGAGGTATGGCCTAGTAGAAAGAGGAGAAAGCAACTCAGATCTTTTAACATTATCAAAGCATTTTCAGTGCAAACACTAGAATAATTTGCTAATTTAAGTAATGTACTGTATTTATCAACACTAAGGATCATGATCCACCAAAATCTAAAGAATTCAATTTCTCATATAAATTTAACCAAACTGTATCTTGATTATAGTATTTTATGAATTTCAGGATACCAGCCGCCTCTTACCATTGCTAACACGACTGACAAGTGAGGAAGGTCTAGATTCACAACAATACCAATGTCATCAGTGTAAATCATATATTGGAATGATTTATGGTAAACCAAGGTAATGTATATATATATATATAGTAACAAAATGTTACATCTTTTTGCATATACGTACAGTATTTTACAAAACTTAAGTTAATAACTTATGCTGTATACAGTATAATATATACACCCAGGAATTAATATTTAGAAGTTGCTCAACTGTGTAGAACAAAAATAAGGAAAATTTACAGTAAAATCATGCTGTAATTTGATACTTTTAATTATGGATGTTCACTATGGATTCATGAAATTCCTTAGGTTCTAATTCAAAATAAAAATTTGAGGATAGCCCAAGAGACATAAAGATGATATCTATATATATACGATGTTTGTTGATATTTTTGGCATATTGTACTGGGTCCAATTTCATTAATGGGTTACAAACTTTGTAAGTGTTTAAGGAGTTCTTATCTCCTGTGGTGGTGATGCACTAAAGAGTTATGGAATCCACAACTTGAAAAGTTACAACGAAAAGTAAGCCTAAAATGGCTGACTTTTTTGTAATTTATGGTGGTTCTGAAATGTCTCGTAAGCTTCTGCAAGGCGGAAATAAGGCTGTTTTCTCTACTTCCTATACCAAAACACACAAAGCTACCAAACGTACTTCAAGCGTGTAATGAGCTAAATACTGTACTCATCTAGAAGATACAGTAGGAATTTATAGTAGTAGAGATAGGAAAGTTGATAGCATGACTCGAGGGTGTAAGGATCATGTCATATATATTAACACAGGCTCAGTATAAGTGTAGTATATAAAACAACAATGCGTGTTACAGCTTTAATTTACTAGTTCAACAGGGGGTTATGTGAGACTCGTACACAATGTATTCCTGATTATGGTATATTCCTGTTAGCTAACAAGAAAATTGGGACTTCCACTATGTCGTTGGGGTGGGGGTTAGGATCACCTCACTACTGTCTACACAGCTAGCACTTACGTTGACACGATGAATAGATGGCACATCATCAATGAACTGGACTGAGACTTCGTTGCACTTGTTGTTGGTCTTCTTCTCCAATACAGCTGATGAAATGACGTGCTGACATCACAGGGGACGACAGGCTGGACTGGGGAGTGAGTGTTGCTGGCCCCTTCAGGGTTACGACTCTCCTTTCTTCTCCTGTTCGTTCTCTTTTAATCAGTTTTCTTGGTCGTGCACCCATACAAGCTGATCTTATATATGTTAGTTTATGGTGATATGACCTGTTAACTGTAGACCGGCTCCTGGTGCGACCTCTCCTTCCTGCTGTCTGGAGGGCAGCTTTTATTGGATTAGCAGGGTCATAGCGCCTGTTCCCTCATCACACGTAGGCAAGAACTCCGTTTCCCTTCATGGCCCTTGTTGGGTCAGATCTTTATCTTATTTGATTACTGTAGGGTGGGTTGACTCAGGTGGGTGTGCTTCACTAGTTACTGCTATATGCATTGTTGCCCTTCTGGGCTGGACACTTTGGTCTGATAGACAATCATTATTAGTGTCACTAGTGAAGATGAAACTAATGATTAGGTCAGTGGTTCCCAACCTCAGGTCGTGACCCAAATCAGGGTCGTGGGGTGTCCTCAGTAAGCCTTCAGACAATTAAAAAAAATATAGTACTTATCATAGTCAAAAAAATTTCTGCTTAACATTCAAGCTATATAATATATTATATGCCTGAGGGTCAAGACACCGTATTGTTGGGAAATTTAGGGTCGCAGCCAAAAAAGGTTAGGAACCACTGGATTAGGTACTACTGGAGGATATGGTTAACACAGGAGGAGTTGTTTGATTTTTTAAATTTTTTCCACATGTTCTTATCATTATAGGAAGTATTTTAAAGAAGGCTGCAACCTTTTATTTTAATTACTGTATAAGTATTTGTTTTAGTTTCTTAGTTTTTCTCTATCTGTGATCATAAGTCACCTGTAGTGCAGGGCATGAAAGATGAGGGAAACTGCGGGGTAAAGCACGGTGAAAAACTGATCATATGACACTGAAATAATATCTTTATGTGCTTTGTATGTGAAGAAATTAATTATTTACCGTAAATACTCCTCCAAAAATTCTGCCGAGTCAGTACATGTTCTTGTCTGCTGTTTGTTTACAACTGACTCGATGCCCCCCCCCCCCCTACCCCATCCAAAGGCACCATGATGCTTCAGCAAAGTTTCTTACATTGGTACCAGATATCAAAATAAGTACTTTCTATTTAATATGGTGGGTCCGTCCCCTGGCTAGGAAGTTAGGTAAGTGAGGTAGGTGTCTTTGGTTGGTTATGTCAGGTGCTATTAGGTTCTAGTAATTGTCGCCCCATTTAAAATATATACTATAATGGTAAGAACATCTGTGGAAACAATGAATGATTTTAAACAACGCCTTCTGATGTTAGCTCTCTCCTCCAGGAGTACCCGGGTGATTGTTTTAACTCGTGACCATGCACTCTGTAGGGAAAGGGTGTTTAGGGATTCTTTGGACCCTCTACAAATTGATGACCACCTACTGCTGTGGTACTACAGAGTACCACTTCAGGATACATTCTGGCTAGATATTGGTCGAGTGGCAATGTTGTTTCATGCAGTCCCAAGACTCCCAATGCATGTGTCTGCATTAATTGTATTGAGGTTTTTCACAAGTGGTACTTTTCAGAGTGTAGTTGATGATGTTACTAGCTTAAGACACTCATCTGTGTCAAGAATTATTGTGACATTTGCTCTAAAATAATAGCATTGTACTGATGGTAATCATATTGCAATACTGTACGCTATTATTATTACAGTGTATATGGCAAAAATTAATTTTTATCCCAATTTCCCCAACTGGTATACAATTTATATATACTGTATATAGAGAAAAAAATACTATTAAGTTTCTGCCGCAAATTGATATTTTTTGGGTATTTTAACTAATAAAATTATCAACAATATTACCGGGTAGTTGTTCAAAGTGGGCAGGGCTTTGAAGTAGAAGGAAAACGTGGGTTAAATAAGTAAAATGAACACCAAACAAACTTTTATAAACCTTACCTAACCCATAAAAATCCTAAACCTCTAAAGCACTTACCTTATTTCTTGTTTTCAGTGTTTAATGGGTTGGTGTAGTTTTCAGTGTTCACTTGGGGAGGGATCCATAAACTCGAAAGCGATTTTTAGTCATTTTATAGGTTAGGAAAGGTTAGGTAAGGTTTTCAAAGGTTTGTTTGGTGTTCTTTTTAGTATTTTACCCCACATTATCTCTCTACTTCAAAGCCCTGCCCACTTTGAGCAACCATTATTGTTGGTAATTGGGGAGATCTAATCATATAAAATCCTTGAAAAATATAAATTTGCACTGGAAACATATTAGAATAAAGTTTTATATTTATATTTTTTTTCTTCTCCCTTATAAATAGCATACCAATTGGGAAAATTGGGATAAAAATGAATTTTTACCTTTTACTAACATTATTATTATTAACGAAAACTCCATGATCCATTTTCTTCTGTAAGTGTTGTCAAAAGAACACGATACGTGCATCCGATGCGGTCTTCTGTTGTTTTGATATGATTGGCTTACGTCTCCTACTCGGTTATACTGTATATCAGTCGTAGTGATTGTCCAAGAGGAAAATAAACTTAAACACGCCACCGCCACCTGTCCACATTTTACGAACTAATGCCGGAGTCCATACGAACACCACAGCAAAGTTACGAACTGTTATTGAATCTGGGCCCTGTACCATAGATATCATCTCAGAAGTTCATGAGCTCTAAAATGATTAAAGATATTTTATTAAGGAGCAAGAAGCCATTATAAGAAAAATTGAAAACCTATCTTTTGTGGTAAAATAGTACAGGTACTGTTCAGTATTATTCATAATTTGGGATTCATTAGAATTCTGACTCGGCTGGACAGGTAACTACCACTTTCCCAAATAACCTAGTAATTCAGAGGTGAATTTCTTTTAATATTGCTTGTGTGTGACCTACTAATGTGAATGTTACAGTTGGGTTCAGTGGTAGAGGTACAGTTGGGGACAAAATTTCGCTCCCCGTGATGAAACCGAGTCATGAGAATGAGTCTCCCAACTAACTTTCCAAGACTGTTTCATCTCGTTTGGGGTTGATGTTGCTTCATTTTGGGCGGGAGAGAACTTTTGACCCCGACTGTACAATACACACACACATACATACCCCATACACAGAACATGTATTTGCCAGATGTAAGAAAACAAGTACCCCGGTACATTTTTTCAATGCTTTACAGAGTGTGTAGTTATGACTCAAAATATTACTGCTATGAGTGTCACGAGGATGAGGCTGCCTTGATTCCTGCTCGCATTGTACATAATTGGGATTTAAGTGCTCATCCTGTCTGTACCACCAATGCACGATGGTTAGCTGCCATCCAGAATCAACCTCTCATTGATCTCCGGACAGTCAACCCAAAGCTTTATTGCCATGTGGATGACTTGGCTGAAATGCAGGTTTGGTCATTTTTATACAATGATGTGATACAATAATCAATGTTGATGATATAAAATCTACATGAACTTACATTCTTTTGCTTAATAATCATTGTTTATACTCCCATTACATTTTATTTTCCTGTCTATTAACTATTAGTCTAACAATCCTCTGTAGTATATTCTCCATTTTTTTCCATTGAATTTATCTATTTTCTCACTGTCAGATCTCTCTCTCTCTTCCTCCATTCATTCATGGGTCTCCATATTTCCTCATAGTTCTCTCCTTCCGAATTACCAACTCCTGCATTTAAATACCCTTTCTCTGTCACTATATCTCGGGGTGAAGCTTTCAGTGTAGTTTTTCAGGCCTTTTCAAAATCTCTCTCTGTCCTCTTTGGCATACATAATATTTGATAAAGTTTCCATTGTGAACTTATGGAATCTTTTCTCAATATATTGACATAAAACTGACATATCTTCATAATAGTTTACAGGCATTTGTAATTCACAGATGCTGCGTACTCAGTTACTGTATGTACGGGCATACCTATTCACTTGTAGGTCAGGTGTTGGGGAACAACTAAGGAAGATATTATGGCCAAGTGAACATATGTATGAACATGTTCACCTCTACTCAGTTTCTGTAAGTATTTATTGAATATATGTTTGATGCTTAAATCTGGGTTTAGAATAGTAATATACAGTAGTTGGTGATTCTTTGTGCAAAGCAATTTTTTTTTAGGTTAGATTAGGTTTTAAGTTGTTGGCTTCAAAATTTCTATAATTGCCCTTTCTCCTTAACATTAAACTTATGTATGATCAGTAAGATAGCACAGTTCCTGTGCTCAGTTTAGATTCCCCAAACTTGGACTTTTCCCCTGACAAATTTGGTACCTTTTATCATATCTGAGTGTTCTGGTGAGACAGGCTGGAGATTTTAGGCCTTGGGTGGGCTCCAGAAGCCAAATATACTAGAGATGCATTTTACTGGGAAGTATGCTTTTATGGCATACTGTTTTAATCATTGCTATAATATAAAATAGAATAAAGATAACAGTTGGAAGTTGAATAACCACAAGTAATATGCAGTTAAATATATAATGATTTCTGCTGGCTTCCCTGACAACTGTGAATTTATGCAATGTGAGGGTGTTGGTGGATGTGAGTTTATTTCTTCATCTGTGTGCACTTGTGTGCATGCATGTGTGCACATAGATTTGTATGTGTGTTTATTGGAATTGAGAGGGATGTGGAAAGCCAAAGTTAACAGGGATTACTGTTAATAGAAATGCAGATGTTGATAAATACAATGATATGATGTACTGTACTGTAATAGGTTGTTAGTCATGGGCCACAAGAGCTTAAATATTGCTTAATGTTTATTTGAGCTTGGAGAGAGACATGTTTATCTTAGCTTTAGGGTTATAGCTGCAGTATCTTAGATAGTTGGTTCACACTAAAGAAAATTTACTGTAGGGCACTCTCTTTGTCTTGATGCTGTTTGTTCTACAGTACAGTGCATACTGTACTTCTTATTTAAATGTTTTATAGATTTTGAATGTGCAATACAAAATGTGTTAATCATTGTTGTGTTCTGTCATATCGGAGTTTTTATAATTCTTATCAAAGGTTGAGTAAGATGAAGGTATTTATTAGCTTGCCTGCTTGAAGAAGAGCTTATACTACTGTATACCCTTGATATAGTAGTCTGCAGTGTCATTGTCATGTAGGGTTTGTTTTAAGTAATGAAGCACAATGATTCTTAAACATTCATACCTTTTTGGGGAGAATCATAGGTCATATTAAATTTTAAATCTGATTATTGTTCTGCTGTACACAAAAACAACTTGCTACAATTACTGGATTTCATGTGTGTGGTTATCTAAGGATACTGTATTTGATCATCTCCATGATTTACTCTTAGTATCATATGATTGATCGACTAATGACATGAAGTCATCTCCCTGAGAGAATTCTCTCTCTGAAACATCAGACAGCATTTTAGATCTATCAGTTTAAATGAAGTACCCGTGTTTTAAAACCAGACAGTGTCTGGGGTTTTTAAACTGCAGTTTAAGTTTGAAGGCTAAATGCATATATACTGCATTAAGTAAGCTATTGGTGCGTGAGCTAATCGGCTATCTATAAGTGTCAACAGAAATTCAACAAATATCTTACTTTTTCTACGGCAACAGAATTGCTTATACATTACTGTACAGTACTATAGGTAAAAAAAAGGAGAACTTTTCAAGAAAATTCTATAATGTGAAAATAACATGCTACAGTAATTGGTTCTGTTAGGGGCTAATTTTTTTATGGGATTATACATTAGGAGAGAGCAAAAAAAAATTTAATGGGGCACCGGTGCCCAGTATACAGTACATGTTCTTGTTTTACTCCCTGAGCTGTAGATAAGTTCTGTCATTATTTTATCAGTACAGTACCATGCATAATGCCATTACTGTACAAGTTTTATATCATAGTCTTGCAAATACAGCTACTCCTCGACTTACGACCTACTCGACTTATGACCACCCGGACATACGACCACCCCAGTCGTACCAAATTTTTTTCAATTTACGTATTTTCGAGTCCTGACGTTAGTGATTGTGCTGTGTACTGATAAAATTTTTGCTTGTAATTCATTTTAAAATGGCTGGCATGCTTGAAAGTGAGAGTTTTGTGGTGCTGAGAAGAAAAAGAGACACCCATTTTAGATTTTCTATGTATTATCTTTGCATTTTCAACTTACGACCAATCCGACTTATGACCTGGATTTGGGTCCCTAACCCCGTCGTAAGTCTAGGAGCAGCTGTATGCATGAATAATATTTGGATTGTGCCTCTAAGTCACCTTTGAGCTGTCCAAAGTCAACCCAAGTCAAAGACAATTTTCACATACCTTCATTCAAATCATATTTTCAGGTATGTAGGATATATCAAGCACCCCAGATTGTTTCTAAATTTTTAAGATAGACAAGTTTCTAATCTTTTTCGCTAATTATATTAATCTATGTACTCTGGTATGCCCCTGCCGGAGAAAGTTTTGCAATATTATAAATGTGAGGAAAAAATTTATTTTGATTACCGGTATTGACTTATTTATTACCTACACTTTAAACTAGCAAATGATACTCTTATATGAGAACTACATAGTTAGGGCAATATTTTTGTACCAAAAAACTTTGCTGTAACTTTCTACGAGCTGTCACCTGTAACTGGAGTTTTGTTCACTTTTGAAGTCTGTTTATCATGATGATTTCTATGACTATATCCTTCAAATGATGTACATTTTTATGCTTCAGGATTTACAGCTGGTGTCCACTGGCCAGCTTGTGCCTCGAGTAAGGCAGGCCGTCACCTTTGGCCGTGAGCACATAAATGGGTGTGAGGTGTGTTCCCCTCGAGGCTTCATCTGTGAACTTTGTACAGATAATGAGATCATGTATCCATTCCAGCTTGGCAGTACATATACAGTAAGTACCTTTGTTTACATAAGCTTTTTTGTTAACCAGTTTACTTCAGCTGGCAAATATTGGAATCTTAATGTGTTGTCTGATGGTAGACCCTTCTGCCATATGGCATCACAAAATTGTGCTGATCTGACTGACTTTCTGCGTCATTTACACACAATTGCAGGATCTCAATTATTTCTCTTACTTTGACAACACAACATACACAGTTTGCTGTATATTATTTCTTACTCTTGATTTGTTTAATTTTTTCCATTAATTTATTTATTGATTTATTTATGGTCATTTTTTTTTATTTGTCCCCCAGGCCATGATGTGGGTCAGTGAAGTTTTCCAGGATGGGCTAAATGTCCCAAAAAAAAAACAATAATAATAAACAATAAAATAAATAAATAAATAAATAAATAATAATAAAACATGTATAGGGTGTATTTATATTTTTCCATTCACTGCGGCTGGTACAGTCACAAAGATGCATCAACTCCACCCTGGTTCTTGTACTCGCAATTTTACCTGGCAATGCTTGGTTAAGTAAAGCTGTATGTAATGGAGATTGTGATTGGTGGTTCTATTTTTTACTGTGTCACTGTCAGGATAAATATTAAAAAATCCAAAGGTATCATTTTATAATACTGTACAGGTAAAGCTTGATAAACGATGTCTCGTTCAGCGATATTCCGCTTTAATGGTGGTCATGAATTAAGACCATCACACTATTTATGATAAAAAAAATCGCTGTAACGATGTCCATCAAATATCCATCTATATCCATTGGTTGGATTGTTCTCTCATGTCAACTATGGGTTTTAAATACTCAAAGTAATCAGTGTCTTGCAAAAATTCCAGCAGTGCAAATTATATTTTTCTACATTCAGCCAGTGACATTTTATAAGGAAACAATATTTAACCTTATGCACCACCAAAGGTAACACATCTCTGGCTGCAGTTGTCAGCTGCGGTAATATCTACCCGCGCCCTGCCACATGGCCAACCCACGCACTATAGCCCTGCGCTTGGTACTTTGTCAGTTTCATCTCCCTGCCATCACATAGTTCCACAATTACTGTTCAGCATCTTTGACTGTATGTACAGTATGTTGTTCTTGTTATTGGTGGCTTTTTGTTTTTTCTTATAGTGTGAGGACAGCACTAACATATAGATTGAACTGTGTTATGGTGACTGTGAAGTACTATTTCCTGTGTTTGTGTTTTTGTGACTAAATTGCTTCGCCTCTGTTGTGAAAATGGTGTGAGCAGTGTTGGCCGCTATCAGTTTTTTTATTGTTATCGTTCGTTCTGTTTTTGTGACTGTAAACGGAGGAGTGTAACTTTGAAAATGTCTGGGAAGGCCAAGGCAACTGTGTCTCTGAGGTAAAGCTTGACATTGTGAAGCTGCATGAGACCCAGAGGCTGTGTGGGAGTCAGAGTGACGTCTCCACTCCACCTACAAGAGTCCCCTTAGCCTTATAGGGGACATGTGATGATGATCAGGCTTATTCTTCTTGATGTTGTGAGTGTCTTTTAATTGTTTTCTCTTAATTTTATAAATGTAGGAATTTTTTTATCAGTGATACATGTGTGTTTGGGGACTGGCTGGGAATATATCCCATTGAACCCCGTGTTATAATGCTCCCGAGCTACAATATTTCACTGAGTGATTGGTTTTTAGGGACCTAACCCCATTGTTTATCGAGCTTTACCTGTAATAACCTATTCATTATTATTTAAGATCATGAGAAGCTTCCAATTATTTGTATATTGCTTAAATAATGAAGAAATTTTATTAATGATATGGCAACTCAACTACAACCAGGGCTGCCACAAGATTCTCACATCAAATTTTCTTCATTATTTAAGGAATTATACGAACACTTGGAACCTCTCATGATCTATTATAACAATGAATAGTAGTTTATTATTTCAAAAATGCTACCGTTGGATTGTTCAATACAGTAGACCCTTGCCATTCATGGGTTTGTGATTCTCGATAAGCAGATTGTGGCTATGGTGGCTAGCTTGCAAGCCTTTTCCCGCAGCACAACAAGTCACCCCACACAATGTCTCGTGTCTAGTGTTTCTGTGTGAAATGGCCCCTAAAAGACTGCCTAGTGCCAGTGCTAGTGATGCTAGTGGAGTGAAATGTAAAAGGCAGAAGTCAGTGATGACCCTGACAAAGAAAGTTGAATTATTAGATAAGTGCATAAGTTAAAGGAGGGGATGAGTGGTGCCGTGGCTGGTCAGTTGTTTGGTATAGGTATACAGTAGTGCACTAAGGTAGTATAAGTTGCTATTCACGGTCTTGCCTATTCACGCCTTGGAACCTAACCCCTGAAAATAACAAGGGTTTACTGTACATATTTATCCTGACAGTGGTACAGCCGGAAATAGATCCACCAATCACAATCCCCATTACATACAGTCTTACTCTCCTAAGTATTACCCAGAAAAATTGCTAGTACGAGAGCCATGGTGGTGTCGATGCATTTTTTGGTTAATTGTACATGTGGAGTTTCTTGAACTAAAAATTCCTGTACGAGACAATTTTGTTGAAATAATTATGGTAAGAACAGTATTTGACTTTGACTGTGCTATTTGTTGCTATATAGTGGTCAATTATATTCCTTTACTGTGTACTACCGGCTTGAGTCTCAGGTCTTACTTGAAACCACACAGAGCCAAGAAGAATGGACTGATGCTTATGAAATCCCCTTCAGGGCTGGGGCAGGAACGAAGATGTCACCCAAACCCATCTACCTCCTCTCAATGCTTCTTTCAGTTAGTGATGTGAGGAAGGAACTTACATGAGGGGATTCAAAACACAACGAGGAAGTCACAGTGCTCTTGTACCTCTTCTTACACTAATGGTTCTGTCTCTCAGTGCAGCCAGTCCAATCCTTTTAAGTGTGAATTAGATGTCTTGGAAAATTTTACTCACCCATAATGGTTATCAACATAAATCAAAGCCAATTTGTTTGACAGTATCTGGTGAAACAGGGCAGTGTCTTGGGTTCATCTCTATCCATCCCAGCAGTAAATGGGAATTTCTTAAGCCTCCATTCATTCCTTTAAATTATTTTATACTGTATATTGTATATTTTTTTACTTGTGATATTTTAGTTACCAAGATTTTTACTTTGTTTTGTATTTACAAGCATGCATTGAGTAGACATGGGTGAGTAATCTAAATTGTTAGGTTCCTTGAAACTTAGGTACATGAGAGTGTGTGTGTATGTGTTTTTTTTTTATAAATTCATGTGGTTGGCATTTTTGCTGATAACCACAAGGTAAAAGAAAACACGAAATTCCCAAGCGCTTTCGTGTAATTCACATCTTCAGGGATGAGTACAGATTAAAATAGAAGTGCAGAACAAATTATGTATTATACACAGAGGAGGGTGAGAACAAGTACACAGAGGTCAAGTATAGGTAATGACCCTACTAATCTTTACAAAAGCACCACAGTGGTCGGTAGTCAGGTCAGAGGGAAAACTGACCCAACCTTCTCACCTGGTTACAAATCTTCTTAATTACAAAATTGTCCAATTTGTACATACCGTTACTCAAATTCATGTTAACGGATAATTATTTGACCTGCAGTGGGTTTTTCAGACCCCCATCACATACCTGTATATTCGACCTGTATATTCGAGGAGTGTTCAGTACAGTACACTCCATCTTAAGCACCCAATAAACCAAGTATATTATTTGGGTAAAAATATATTAAATTTGAATAACTTTTTTAGTGTGTATAACATGGGAGCATCATGGCTTCCTGTTAAATAATAGTGGCAATTATATTTTCAGTGTGCAGTGTGCTATGGAGTGTACCATGCCATGTGTGCCCGAGGACAGAGGGCTTGTCCTCGTTGCATCAGGAGAGCAGCCAGGAAAGAAAGAGATCAAAGTTAAGTTGGTGAATATATGAAATGTGATGAATTCATTTTGTTGTATGTTTACAGAGGAAAGCAAAATTACTCGATAGTTATTTGTAGTAGATTTTATATACAGTATTGTTACATTTTCAAAGTGACAAGAGAAAAAATTTTTTTTTTACCTGTTTTGCAACAAGACCACTTTTGATTTAATTTTTTGAGCATGTAAATTTGTAAAAATCATGCCAGATTATATTACTCTGTAACTATAAGTTCTAAAAAGGATAGTGTTATTTGATCATTAACTCAAGAAAATTGTGCCTTTTACTCTAAGATATAATTGAACTCTTTATTTTCCCTTGTCTTTGAAAAGTAAACCTATTTTTTCTTTGATATTTACAACCCAAGTGCTGTACACTTAAATTATCACTTTATTGTATTATAAAATACAAGATTTATTGATTATACAGTTTTGTGTGTACAGTACAATGATTTTCATATTATCCCATTTGTTAAGTTTAGGTGTATTATTTGAAATTTTCAGTACAGGGCTTGTGTACACACTCTTGGAAATAAACATCAAAATTTGGCATGTATGTATGTTTATTATATGTGATAAAATGCAATGAATATACCTTCTGATGTGTTATCTAAAGTGTTTACATCTTCATACCAAAATTTTGTAGTTCCCTTCAAACTGGTGAAAACATTTTCTTTCCCAAGGGGTTCAATAAACTTCTAAGAAATGGGAGAGAGATTTCATGTGAGAAGGTAGACTTCCTTATAGATTACTCTTCGCTCTATTGTGACATAATCTTATTTTCATTTAAAAAGATTGTCTGTACTTGGTGTCACTGTTCACTACCATAAAAAAATGTATTTGGGGATGTATCTACTAATTCACAAATAATTACAGTAATATTACCCAGCAACAGTCTACTGCTGTTGTGAAACTGAAAGCATTTTAACCTCCTGTAATACAGGCATCCCTTGAGTTATGGAAGAGTTACCCTCCTGAAAAATTACTAAACTCATAACCAATTTTTTTTTTTGTAGACTTTCATTATGTAATTGGAGATGAATTACAAGGCTTTTTAAGTACAGTAGTACAATACTGTACTGTACAAATTAAATTGAAAAACCTGAAACACCTATGGCCTGGGACATGCTTTCTAATTGTTTGAGGTGAGCTGCCATTTAATTTGGGGTCTTCGAACGACAAAAGCAATCGAGGTTCTGCTTTGTCTGTGCGTGCATGCGTGTGTGTGTGTGTGTGTGTGTGTGGCAGTATGTCAAGCACTCGGTAACTAAAAACTTATATTCAATGAACATAATATTGGATATCACATTTTAATTTTGTCACAATCCCTATTTGTCTAGAGAAAGGAAATGTATTATCTATATGACTCTTTAAATGTAGGTGGCATACAGTAATAGTAATATCTCTGTTAGCTGGAATCCCTCTTAACCGGAATTCTCCACTAGCTGGAATTTAAATTTTCTTGGATAATCGTTCCCAATACAGAAAATTCCGGCTTTGGGAATGATTTTCCGAGGGGAATATTTTCTGGAAAATTCTGAGAAAATTTTCCTAGTACAGTACCTGGAAAATTCCAGGGATGGGAGAGTTTTTTTCCAGGTGAGAGAGATGAAAATCGCTCTCTGGAAATTCTGAGAAAATTTTTCGGGTGCCCGGAAAATTAAGGGATGGGGGATATTTTTCCGGGCTCGAGAGATGAAGTAACATATAATTTCTGGAACTTTTGAGAACAGTTTTCTGTCACTCGGAAATTTTAGGAAAATTCCAGGAATGAGGGACTTTTTTTCCAGGCTTTGAGAGATGATGTAATGTGCGATTTCTGGAACTTACGAGAAAATTTTTACGTTACCCAGAAAATTCCAGGGATGGGGTATTTTTTTACGGCTTTGAGAAAGTCGTCTCGTTACCTGGAAATCTCTCATTCCCAGAAGTGCTCTGCACCACTTGTTCCGGCTAATGGAGATATCACGATCTCCGTTAGCTGGAACACTCCAGTACCTGGAATTGAAATTAGCTCAAATTTTCCAGAAAAATTATCTCAATTCCGGGTCTGTAAAAGAGTTCCGAGTTTGAAAATCAGGAGCATTTTCTGAGAAAATTCCAAGAAAATCTTTCCACATCTCTCTGTTCTGTGCCTACTCTAGGTTCAAGATGACAGCATCTGCTGGTGAGTTTAGTCGTAGTATTCAATGTAATGTTTGCAGTATTAACAATATATTGTACGTGTATAGTGGTGTTACTGTAAATGAATACAGTTCCGTGTGAGATGTGTCATTTAGACTGGAAATTTTTCCTGTGAAGAGTGTAAAATTCCACTGTCTTTGCTGTATCATACAGCTCCATTCTTGCCTTTATCATATAGATTTTTTTTTAATTATTTATTTAACCATTTTTTTTATAACTATTCAGAATTATTTGGGTAAAAAAAAAAAGTGTGTAACTTAATTAGAACTGCATTTATTGACTCCAGTATCAAGATTTCTTACTTTTTTTTTTTTTTTTAATAAAAGAATGGAGTCTCCACATTATATTGTGTTGAAACATATATATATTTTTTGGGGGGGATTTCTTATTGGAAACGACTTGTAGAGAATTTATTGCGGATCATTATTATACAGTCGTATAAAATTCATCTCACTAAACACAATTAAAACTTTTTTGCTAGATCTAATGGGAGAGTGCTTGTCCGTGCGAGATGAGATGATGAGATGCATAGTTTAGACTCAGAAACTTTTCCCAATACACATATCTGGAAAATTCCGGAGATGTGGGATTTTTCCGTATTTGAGAGACTCGTCTCGTAACCCGCAAATCTCTCATCCTCGGAAGAGTTCTGCCCCAATTATTCCAGCCAATGGGGATATCACTGTATTAGTTCTTAATTACACACCTACAGTACTATATAATTGTATGTTTGTATTTTACTGGCTTGTGATATTGTTTATTTGTTTTCACTACAGTAAACTCTTGCTATTCGCGGGTTTGCGATTTCGACTATTCACGGTAAGCAGAAGGTGGCTAGTTTACGAGCCTCTCCCGCAGCGCAACGAGTCACCCACATATGCCCGCAGCTCAATCATTGCCTGTGATGCAGCGTCTCTTGTGTTGTACTCAAAACTTCAGTGTTTCTGTGTGTAATGGCCCCTCAGTGCTAGTGATTAGTGGAGTGAAACGTTTAGAGACATCAAAGCCAAGAGGAAACAACTACCAATCACGTTGTTTTTCAAGAAAGAACCGGCCACTCGCCCAGCTGATGCGTCTCCCTCATCTTACTCGGTCAGCTGCCGCCGCCGCCGCTCCACCCCCCACCTCCCTGTGCCACCACCCATATTTCCACCAACCACCACTGCATCACTCTTTTCCAACAGTGATCCTGATGATCTCCTTATGCTTTAGTAACCAGATTTCATCCTACTGTACATTATGCTTCATCAAGCTCCAAACTTCCATATACGAAGGAGAGTAGTATTGTTTACTTAGTTTTCTCATACACAGTATAGGTATACAGTAGTGCACTTAGGTAGTATATGTTGCTATTCATGGTTTTGCCAATTTGCGGCATTCCTTGGAACCTAACCCCCGCGAATTATGTGAATTATGTATTATGTGAATGAAACCATATACTGTACCTGTAATATAATATAATGATATAAAATTCTCTTGGTGTGTTGATGCAGTTTGTATGATGTAATTATTGTAAGTGGTCATCAAGACATGTTTTATGTGTGTTCGGGTAAGTCTAAGATAAGATTACGACTGCTAAGTGTGTGGATGTGTCTGAATTATGAGATTGGGTTGTGTGTGTTTGGGTGTGTTAGAGAAGTCTTAAGATGTTGAATTTAAAACTACATTTTTAATATACAGTATAGTCTTGATTTACACGGATTTTGTTTACGCGTTTGGTCATTTACTCGGCACCTTGCCAGAATGAAAATTTTTAATTACGCGGTTCATTGCATCATTTACGCGGCGAAAAGTCCAGACGCCCAATGCCATTTTTTATTCACGCGGTCCATTCTTGACCATACTCGGGAAGCGGTGCAGGGAGGGGTGCGCATTAGGTCGCTCCTACGTTATCGCTGACGTCATATGACGTATTGGACTGTGATTGGGTCACGCATCCTTACCTCCCTCCGCCGCTAGCTGTGATTGGTCTAATGTAACATGACGTGCCCTGCCCCCAGAGGGAAGAAGTCGCTGACCTAGTCAGGCGACTCTCATTGTTCTCAGTCTCCACATATACAGTTCTCTCTTGTGCCCGCTATTCCCCTCACAGTGGCTTCCGCTGGACCCCCACCACCCCAGAAAAACCTTGAACCTGGACCAAGCCATGGTTATGTGAAGGAAATCATCGAGTTGGGGGAGAAAATCAAGCTCATCCTTGACAAAGACACAGTCAAGCATTGGTATGAAGTATCTAATAACCTTCTGTCGAAAATTATGGAGCCGTATGCCCAGATGTATCATGACAACATCAATGCTAGTCGTCAATGTAGTATTACGGACTTCTTCGCCCACAACCCACCACAACCACAGCCAGCCCAAGTCAGTGATAGTGACAGTGACAATATGAACTTTGAGGGGTTTGTCAGGAAGGCCCTGCAAACCTTTGTGAATAGTGATAGTGATTTACTGGAGGGCAACTAATCTGCCCTCTGCCTCGGAACCAGCCGCCATTCCCGTATGCCGACCCATATCTTCTACTGTCGTAAGTGTAAAACCTTGAATTTTCTTTTACCTGGTACAGTATATTATTCTCTTATTGATATTTCTCTTCTATATTATGTGTGTGTGTGTGCATACCATCATAAAATTAAGATACTATTTTTACTACAACGTAAATATTGTGTCGGAAAAAGTGGAGTTTGGGGGTTGGCCCAGTCTCTATTTCAATTAATCCCATATGTTCTGTTATTTCGTTTATACTTTTCTCGTTTTACGCGGACCTCCACGGGTTCAATTGACAGCGTAAATGAAGACTATACGTACTGTACTGTAGATAATAAAATTACCTTTCTCTAGACAAATAGGGATTGTGTTAGTTAAAAAGTTATATATACTGTAGTCATTTAATATAGGCTTTTAGTTACCGAGTGCTTGACATACTGCCACACACACACACAAGCAAAACAGAGCCTCTATTGCATTCATATTTCTAAGACCCAAAATGAGATGGCAGCTTTCCTCAAGCGATTCAAAGCTTTGTCCTTGCCCATAGGGTTTGCCGTTTTGTCAAGGGACTTTTATTCACGACTGTTCCATCAGCTGAAAACTTAAAAATCACGATAATTGCATCATGTTAGGCTATTAGAAATTATGACTTTTTTATTATAAAATTGGTGACTGCTGTGTGATGTTCAATTTAATTCATACAATGAAGTTAATTTCCAATGCTGTTGTGTTAGTATAGTTGTTAGGAAACTAAGGTTTTGGTTTTTGGAGAAGAAAATACTTAGTACTCATCAAACATAGTTATTATTTATACACGAACCAATTTACATAATTATTTATACATTACAGGCAGCATTTGTCACATGTTCTTCAGGATAGTACACTTTCATTGGAAGAAGCAGGGGTACAACAGTATCTTATAAATTAATAAAAAAAAAAAATACGGTACTGGGACGGCCAGGTTAAGGATGAAGCGATGATTTCCATGGCCAGTATGTAGATCATCTACCACATTAATATGTCATCGTCACAGATTATATTTATTGTGCTGTAGTGTGTATGAGTATTGAACTTAACCACATTCTGAAAATTAAATGACATTTAAAGTATAACAGCTAGGACAGAATGGACTAGGAATTGCATAGGCTTAGGTTTCTTGGTTTGTTCAATATTATAATTTGATGTTTATTTGATGAACTTTAAATGTATTCTGAATTTTAATGTATGGAAAACCTGTCATTCACATTGAAAAATGGATAGCTGTATGTACACCCTGCGAATTTACTTAATATCTATGAAAATATCTGGCATATATTATAAATGATTAATAAAGTCAGGCATTCAACAAAAATATCTCAGAACACTTTAGGCATTACACAAATCTGCCACATTACATAAACTTTCCCAGGACAGGTCACAGTATGCCTCCACATCTAAGGTGTAGGAGTATCTTTTCTGTCAAATCACATTGACATCCCTAAGTCATCACCCTACACATAGAGCATACTGGATGCCTGCTTTTCCCACTAATATTACACATATAAAACAGCTCCACCTAGCAATATAGACTAGAGTGAAAGTTCTACCTAATCAGTCCTATATCTGTTTAGTGTTCATAGCTCAGTATGATGTAAAAGGCCTGTCTGGTCTTCACAAAATGGAGGATATAATACAGGTAAGTTGTCTCTTAAGTCCCTTGTTTAATCCTTCAGTCTTTAATCACCATTTTGTAGAGAAGTTACATAATAATTCAGTGATGACACAAATTAATCAACTTTATCACCAATGGAAAAGGAAACTCACTTAAGTATAGGTAATAATCACCACTTCTCCTGTGGCATGACAGGCTTACATATAATTAATACAACCAATTTTCTTTACTTAAAAAAAATATCATTTAAGTTAATGTAAACTTTTCAGTTGCTTATTAAACAATACATACTGTAATTTAAGCTATTAGAGGAGCCAAAATAAAACCTCCTTCAAGAAATTTGTATATTAGAGTTAATGTGAAGTAATATCCATATTTATTACCAAGTACTTTTCACTTTGGCACAGTGACACTGCTTCACATACAAAACTTCAGTGGTATAAAGGCAAATTGTGCCATAAATGAGTAATTTGCTTTTGTTCACCGAGTAGACTAGCCTTGGTGTCATTTTCAGTGTTTCAGGCACTCAGGAGGGTGTCATTTTCCCAACAAATTTGGGTGTTTCTGGGTCTCAAGATTATAATAGTCTTGGTGTCATTTTCCCAGCATATTTGAAGATTTTGGGCACCTTGGTGTCCTTTACAGACAAATTTGGGTGTTTCAGGCCTTGTTGTCATTTTACAGACAATTTTGAGTGTTTCAGGCACCCAAGTCAGTCTTGGTGTCATTTTACAGACAAGTTTGGGTGTCATTTTACAGGCAAATTTGGGTGTTTTCGGCACCCAACCCCATAGCTTTGGTGTTGTTTGTCCAGCAAATCGGCTCTCTGCAGTCTTCCCTTAAAGGAGTTTCCTGCTTGACCATCACCAAGCTTGATCTACATTTCAGTTTCAAATTCTTACTTCTTGAGGGTATGTTTTTCTGACATTTTTGTAATAGTACAATATTCTAGTCCTAAGACTTTTCAAGTTTATAGAGACCATTATATATGTAAATAAATTATAAACAAACATCTGTACACAAGAACTATATTAAGTATTAAAATAATTGCATACAATAAATATACCAAATTATTAAACAGTTCATATTATTAATTGTTTATGATCAACAGTTATAAATCCATTACGTAGAATAAAAGATGATGATTATTGTATCACTGGAGTAAGCAAAAATGTAAATTGTATTCCCTACATCACCCCAAAAATGGGTGTAATTAAAATCACTAATAATTAATGAAAGAAAAATCTTACCAATACTGTTGATGTTGGTAACTAAGATTTATATATGTTCCATGTAAAGATCTTCCAGACAGTGAATAAAGTACTTATAGAAACCTAGTACTCGAGTACTTTTAACAAAATCATACAGAGCATGGAAACACTTCACTACTAGAATTCTTGGTTATGTGTTTCTTTACAACAGGTCATTGTAAGATTATAAAATTACTCTGTAGTCAGAGATTGCTCACACATCAACCAAAAGCAAATCAGCTTCCTGTACAACATTTAGTAATGACACATTTGTAAACAATAGACCAGTCTTGAGACATAGATGCCAAGATAGAGTATTACAATTATCATATACAGTACACAGTCAGTATTGTTTGTGGATGGCGATCTATGAATCAGAAAAGCTAGTGACGTTACACTTGAAAAGCACATGTAAACACAGAACCATCAGCAAAAGTAGCCATATGACCACTAGCACACATGCTGTCCACAGTTATTCATGGACCCATTACAAACATGCCTTCCACACAGCCATAGGACAACTAGCACACACACCATCTAGATGCAGCAGCTATGGGACCATCAGGAGACACCATCTACATCATCCCAAACTATTAGAATGTATGATGGTCACTTGTAGTCACAAGAATGCCAACCTATACTTGGTTAACATTGTTCATAAGCTGACAGGAAATAGGCGTGGCTCCCAGACTATAACTACTCTACTACTAAGCACAATACATTGAGTATGGGCCCATCTCTTCCTGCAGTTTTTGCTAGAAATAACTTATTTACCTTAAATTATAATTTATAAACATATGTAGTCATGCTTGAAGCTTTTAAGGTTTTTAAAAAAAATAAATTTTTGAGAAATTATTTTGAATATGACTATATAGTTGTAAGGGTCTACAGGGTATTGTGAAAGCATTTATTAAACTCTTTATATGCATCAGATAATGTAACAAACTCCCTTGAATTTTTATATTTATATCAACTTTTAAATTCTCTACATTAAATTAACAATAACTTTTCTTCGTAAATATTTATAAACCACTATACCAATATCAAACTATAATTCTTGAGATATGTATTCGATATGGTTGTTCGGAGATCAAATTAACTATGATGACATATGTCATTTGATATGTAGGTAAACACCTCCTGGTAAAGGGAACGGTGGTGTGCGAGTACCGGGGCCGACATGTTGCATGCCTCAGGATAGGTGTCCCTTGTTGTGTAGGTTTCACGTCCATACACAGCTCAGACTAAATTGCATCACACACAGCTTTGATTCCAGTGATGAACATAAAATTACAACCTGCTGGAATTGCACTACCTTTTACTTTTTTTTACACATCTTCAGGCAAGGTTGTTCTGGCAGGTAGGTTCCTAAGGTTTAGTCCCTACAGAAGAAGTGAGAAGATTGACACTATATGAGGGTTACGAACCACGTTGGAAAGCTGCAATAGTTTTCTTGATCCATTTGACTGTGGTAGAGGTAATGTCATCATAGAGACGTGGACGTGATCCCTGGAAGCAGCCAGTATGGGATGTGGCTACACCAACTACTTCCCAACGTCCTGCCCATTCACACAGTAAACCACCACCACTCATTTCTTCCAACTGTAACAAATGATTAATGCACATACTGTATTTTACATATAAACAGAATAATAAATGTACATGACAAGGAAGAATATCAAGGGTAAAGGAAGTGGAAGTCTTATTAAATATTACCAAAATTGAGTCCAGTAATTACCAAAATTTAAATTTTTGATCACAGATTCTTAATCAGTGTGACAAGGATTACCAATGAACTCGAACATTGCTAATTTGACATCATTGGAGCTCTGTCCCATTCATATTACCCATAGAATACAAATTAGCTGGTGTGCAGCCATACTCTTTTTGTGCCATATGTAAATTTCCATAGTTGTTATCAACATGAGTGAAACATTATTTTTTGTAACATACAAATGGTACATATGGATTGATGCAAACACTAATGGAATTTATGAATACAGTATTGTAAAACAAAATTTTTTTATGTAAATGTTTGCATCTTTTTGTAGGCTAATTACATTGTATTAAAGTATAGACTATACAGTGTAAGCCTTAATAATCTTTTTTTCAACACTACATACTGTTCAAATGCTACTCGGTGCCGATGGCCCAAAGAAGCACAGGCTTCACAGATGCAATTTTTTGGGTGATTTGTGCAGTGGTGCAGCAGAATACAATCTCCTTTACAAGGTAACATACAAGACTCACAAAACTTCGTGCCAGGTCATTTAACTAATCAGACATTCAACCTACAACCAACTTACATTCACACTACTACGTAGCGGCACTCGTGCACACATCAATCACACAACTAGAGGACAGCACTCGTGCACGCGCCCATTCATGTCACACAGTGGTCCACTCACTCACGCTCGTTTGCATTACATAAACACCATACGCATACAACTAGTGCATGTGAAGGTATGCTAACACTATTATTATTTATGTACTGTATGCAACCAGCCGTTGCTTTAGTTGTATGTACTGTATAGGCAGTACTACCACCTAAATAAAATATTCAGCTATGTTACTATCTTGTTGCTCGGCTAGTTACATCAAGGAAAAGTATACCATATGGTACTGTGCTGTACCAGCACTAACGGTTACCGAGTTAATATGGTATTTGTTAAAACTGCAGTTTTTTCTAAAAAAAAAATTGCTGGAATAGAGTTAACATTAACATAATGAAAAACTAAGATTTGTATTGGTAGCAGGTAGATACTGTACCTGTATATGAAAAGTGCGTTTACAGGGGCTCGTCAAATTTTGTGCAGTGTGGCAGCCATGTATTTGTTAACATTTGACAGAAGGGAACTCGCAATAGTAAACATACTACGGAATCAAATTCAAACAATATTAAAACAAATATCTCAATGATAATGATTTGTGGAATGTTTATATAACTAGCCTCTGTAAATGCACTAATGAAGGGGACTGTTCCTTAGTAGACTAAACAAAGGGTAACTGTTCCAAACTGCTGACTGCTTGGACCACAAGGTAGGTTTATACATACCGGTATGTACTTTGAATAATTCATACAAATAACTAAAAACTTTTTTTTTGTTACGCAAAATATGTGTGAATTAGTCTGTATATATATATATATATATATATATATATATATATATATATATATATATATATATATATATATATATATATATATATATATATATATATATATATATATATATATATATATATATATATATATATATATATATTATATATATATATTATATATGTATATATTATATATATATATATATATATTATATATATTATATATATATATATATATATATATATATATATATATATATATAATATATATATATATATATATATATATATACAGAGTTCCCAAGAGTTCGTGTAATTCACATCTTCAGGGGTGAGTACAGATAAGGGAGAATACTTGAAAGGCTATATATACAGTGAAGTGAGATCAAGTCCCAAGGACAATAGGCGTCCTAATGGTCTGGTCATTAGGCAGTGACCCTTAATCTTCATGAGCACAGCAGCTGTCTGTAGTCAGGTCATAGGGGTGACCCAACCTTCTCACCTGGTTACAATTTTCTTAATACATACTTATCCAGTTTGTACATACCATTATTCAAATTCATGTTGACGAATTCGGAATGTTTAATGAGACTGGATTCTATAACGTTCCTACCAACAAATGAATAACAAGGTAATATTGAGGAGGCATTATAAATATATGTACCTAATTTTCGAAGTAGATTATCATAAAACGGGAATTTGTATCATAGAAAATGGGAAATATCCTTTCCGGGAAAGTTGGTTATCTACTTTCCGAAAAGTAGATTATACTTTTCGATAAAGTAGATTATCGACTTTTCGTAAATGAATTTTCGACTTTTGAAATATTACCTAATTTTCCAAAGTAGATTATCATAGAAAACAGGAAATTTGCATCATAGAAATGGGAAATATTCTACTTTCGGAAGTTGGTTTATCTACTTTCCTGAAAAAGTAGATTATCTACTTTTCGAAAATAGATTATCGACTTTTTGAAATGAATTATCGACTTTTGGGAAATATTACTTATTTTCGAAAGTAGATTATCATAGAAAACGAAATTTGTATCACAGAAAATGGGAAATATCTACTTTCCGGGAAAGTTGGTTATCTACTTATCAACGGAAATTTATCATATAAATGGAAATATCTACTTTCTGGGAAAGTTGATTTATCTTTCCCGAAAAGTAGATTATCTACTTTCGTAGATTATCGACTTTTGGAAAGTAGATTATCGACTTTTGAAATATTGCCCTAATTCCGATAGATTATCATAGGAAACGAAATTTGTATCACAGAAAATGGAAATATCTTCTCCGGAAAGTTGATTTATCTACTTTCGAAAGAGTAGATTATCTACTAAAGTAGATTATCGACTTTTTTGGGAAGTAGATTATCGACTTTTGAAATATTCTAATTTTCCGAAAGTAGATTATCTATAGGAAACGGGAAATTGTATCATAGAAATGGGAAATATCTACTTTCTGGGAAAGTTGGTTTTTTTTGGGGGTTTGTTGTGGGTTTGTTTTGGGTTGGTTTTTTTTGTGGGATATCTACTTTCCGGGAAGTTGGTTATCTACTTTTCGTAGATTTGTAAGTAGGTATCGACTTTTCGAGATTGATTTTCGGGTTTAAATATTACCTAATTTTCCGAAGTAGATTATCATAAAACGGGAAATTTGTATCTGAAAGATGGAATATCTACTTTCCGGGAAAGTTGGTTGTCTATTTTCCCGAAAAGTAGATATTTACTTTTTAAAAGTAGGTATCGCTTTTCGGGAAGTAGATTTTTTCTGACTTTTTGAAATATTGCAATTTTGCAAAGTAGATTATCATAGAAACGAAATTTGTATAGAAAATGGGAAATATCTACTTTTTCCGGGTTGATTTATTTTCTCGAAAAGTAGGTATCTACTTCGGTAAAGTAGATTATCGACTTTTAAGTAGATTTTTCGACTTTGGAAATTTTGCCTAATTTTTCGAAGTAGATTATCATGAAAACGGGAAATTTGTATCTGAAAATGGGAAATATCTACTTTCCGGGAAAGTTGGTTTGTTTTTCCTGAAAGTAGATTATCTACTTTTGATAAAGTAGATTATCGACTTTCGGGAAGTGTTACTATTTTGAAATATTGCAAATTTTGCAAAGTAGTTATCATAGAAACGGGAGAATTTGTATCATAGAAATTGGGAAATATCTACTTTCATAGGAAAATTTGGTTATCTGCTTTTGAAAAAGTGAATTATCTACCGAAAGTAGATTATCGACTTTGGGAAGATTATCGCTTTTGAAATATTACTAATTTTCTGAAGTAGATTATCATAGAAAACGGAAATTTGCATCGCCAAAGGCGAAATATCTACTTTCCGGGAAAGTTGGTTATCTTTCGAAAGTGAATTATCAACTTTCGAGAAAGTAGATTATCGACTTTTTGATGAATTGTATGAAGCTTTTGGGGAAATATTACCTAATTTTCGAAAGTGAATTATAAAACAGGAAATTTGTATCATAATAAATATCTACTTTCAAGAAAATTGGTTATCTACTTTCCCGAAATGAATTATCTACACGATAAATTATCGCTTTTTGGGGAAGTAGATTTTTCTACGACACTAAGGAAATATTACCTAAATTTTAAAAGTAGACTATCATAAAAAACGAAAATTTGTATCACAGAAAATGGGAAATATCTACTTTCCGGAAAGTTGGTTATCTACTTTCCCGAAAAGTAGCGATTATCTACTTTTCGATAAATGAATTATCGACTTTTGGGGAAGTAGATTATCGCTGGGGAAATATTACCTAATTTTCTGAAGTAGATATCATAGAAACGGAAATTTGCATCATAGAAATAGGAAATATCTA